GACTGACCGACCGACCGACCGACCGACGGACTACTTTAGTGAGTCCAACTCCCCATTGTACCCCAACACGTCGACCAAACAATTGTGCAGTGAGGAGGCTCATCATCATCATCCACGGTGGATAAGCCAATTACTTATCACGTGCTGTGCCGCCATGAATGAGCTCGTGTGGGTGAAAAGGCTACGAGATGCACTAAACTTGTGGACACATTGTTGAAAACTTTTTCCGTGTAATTTTTTTCTGCAATTTGTCCGCAAAAAAAAGAATATTCACAATGACAGAGAGCATCTTGGGAGAGAGGGAGAAAGTGAATGCAAATCATTTGTTTGGGTGCCGAGTTCTTTGTGTGCGGAGGGTAATTAGGAAATGAGGAGAGCTTTAGGCGGTCATCATCATCATCGCCATCATCCACTCGCACCGGAGTAAAGGAACAGCAGGGAAATCCGTCTGATGAGTTTTCCCACCAATAATGGGACTTCACTCTCGTGTGTGTAATAGCAGCAGCCTCACTTCTTTTCGCCCATCTACATACGTGCTTTCTCTCAAGACGCACCGGCATCATGAAGCAGGAGGAGTGAGACTATTCTGCCAAACAGTAATCTCCAATACATCCACCACATTTGGCGAGGAGTGCACAAGGAAGCAGGGTTTTGCAAGATTGGGGAAATTTGCTCATTAACCACGGCCAACCGCAGCTCTGGTAGTCCGTAGAAGAGCCCAGGCCGAGATAAGGACGGAAGGAGATGCAGACAAGTGTAAAGATTTCTCAAGTTGTGTAACCAGAGAAGAAGAAGAGCAATCCTTTGTTTACCGTGGTGTTGCTACTCCTGCCCTTTGTTTATCTTGCCATGTAACTCCTCGCAACAACAAATGTTTACCAACGCGGATCCGTGTATCTCTGGCCACGCAGGGAGAAAGGCAGCAGTGAGGAGGAATGTGGTCTGGCTGGTCCTAGTCAAAGTAATGGCGGAGTGAAAGTTGGAATTTGGAAAGCAGTCACACACACAAATGGTCATTACGTCCAAAGCATTTGTGCAACATTTAAAGAAGTTAATGAAATTTGGCTCGGACAAGATGCCATTTTATTGCAGAGAGATATGGCGCATTAGCATCATTTAGTTACATTGGGGGGCATAATAACCGCCCATCTTATCAATTAGTGGATCCGCTGGACTTTTGTGCCACAAAAAGCTTAATAATCGTAAATTAGTCCAAGCAATTTAAAGCGAAGAGTAATGCCCCGATAAGCAAACTAACTTTACTCGTTGCTACTTTTGCAGAGAACAATAGGCAAAATACGGCCTTTCTTCTTCCCTCTCTCTTCCCAACCAGCTACAAATTAGGGAATCGAGCATTTACTTTCGACACGAGTTGAGACAACTCTGACGGAGAATTATGCATCTTTCTTATTTAAGTAAATGGTCCCCCGCACGCACGGGGGTTGACACACGAATTAGCGGCGTGATTTGAAATTTGAATATAAATAGTGCCATCATGAGAGTATGGAAGTTGTGGCAAAAGGGGAGATATTTGCGGGAAGGTGGTTGATGGAATTTCCCAGTACGAAACCCAACGACGGAGCCAAGTAATCTCGTGGATTTCCAAACATTTCATTAATCATTGGGTCTGTAAATGCTGCACGACGACGAGTCATGTTTCCATCTCATGTCTGCACATAATCCCGACCTTCACACCCGCAACTATTTATTCCCAACAACAGGAAACATCAGCCACCCAGCGTCAGTAACTATTTATTTATGCAGCTATCTAGATACACGGTCGGACTTGCATCCTCTAATTTCCATGTCTATGCCTCCAAGGTCTCATACAGCTGCCGCTACATATGACTACATACCTTTGAAAATTGGGCCCCAATAATGGATCGGATAAGATTATTAGTTGGACCACCTTTCTCTCTAGCGCCTTCTCCTCTTCGAACGGTGGCGGAGAAATGTTTTCGTGGTTTGGCCTCGTGGAAAATTTGCCATTAGTTTACAACTCCCTTGAGCTATGTAGGTGCACATCTAGCTGATCCATCTGCCATGAGTGCATGCGTATCTACAGCATAGCGATTACCCATCTCCGAGCGTGTCTCACTACATATTCGCGATTATATAAATACGAACGACGTGCGATATTGACTACGGCGGCAAGGGCAAGATTAGGAAATTCATCAGCGTCTCAGCAGGTGAAGGAGGAAAGGAGGAGGAAGGTGTGGACGGAACGGTGAAACAAATTTCCAACAAGTTTGAACAAATCCGATTTCCATTGACTTTCAGGAGGAAAGCGGAAATCTTGCATGTGGATCGTCCCACTTATGTCTCAGCAGCAGTGCTCGTGCTTTACTACGACTGCTGAGGAGTAATCACTCCTTGTTACACAGCCGTCCTCGTGTTCGTACGTATTTGGCGGCGCGGAGTCTGCAGCCGAAGGAGGAGTATCTACGAAGTGGATGATGAGGCTCTGGGAAAAGGAAGTTGGAACAGTGAAGCTTTTGGTTGTGAAGTGAATGCAGAGTTTGAGGGAAAGTTATGTCGTCCCCACCGACTCGCAGGCTGAGCTCAATCCGTATGAACTCTGGTTGAAAGAATATTCTCAACTCATCCGAATGAATATCTCAATGGGATGAGCAGAATGGATGGCATGGTCGAGGTGCAGGGGAGGAAACGGGCCGAACTGCTTTCTCCACCAGCATCACATGTCGACAGACAGAGAGAAAAGGCGTCCTCGCAATTTTTGGGAGAAAAGTGGAATGCATAATAAGTTGCACCACCTAATTCACTTCTTCAGTCGGCTACACCTCCTTTCTTATTTATCTGTGTGGAATTACTCTCCTGCAGGGATGCATGCTATTCACGGTGTGCAAAATACAAATTTGCATGTTTCTTGCCAACATGAAACGGGTCAGAGTACAAAGGGCAACCAAGCTTACATTGCAACATGTTTTGTGCCGAGGGCGAAAATGATGCAAGTTGTTCTCCGAGGATTATAAGTCACCCACAGACAGCCAAGAAAGTGAGGCAGGGCAGATATTTGGGAGAAAAGTGGGTAGCTTCCTTGGTGCCTGGTTGGTTGGTTGGGATTGTAAAAATCTTTGGAATTTTGATCTCACTCAGTCAGCGAGTCCTACATTTATACAAACGTGCGACGACTGGTTGGATGGCTGGTTGGCTGTGGTTTTGTAGAGTTTTGAGTAAATGGCTGAGAGCCGGGAGCATTATATCTTCAGCTCCATTACGTCCATTTACCTCAGCACGTCTTCTGTAGCCGAGTCTAATCCGAAGACGATAATCTACTTCATCTCCTTCTCTCCCTCTCTCTCCCTCCATGACTTATGCACACCAAACGACGCTCCACTATTCTTCCTTCCGTTTTATGTCCGCTCCTCCGAAAGGTAAATTGCCTACCTCGTGTGTGTGGTGATTGTAGCCATGCAGCTCTCTCTTCCACCCTTATACATATTACCTATGTATCTCTGTATATGCCTCCACCAGACCCACCACCACCTCCAGAACAGAAAACTCTCAGAGAAAGCAAAAGGAAATAAAAAAGTTATAAATGCATAATGCCACCTTAACTCGGTTCATCTTCATGAGTTCTGAATATCTCATGCTTCTCAGTTTTGATGGCTCTGGCGAAACTTGGCCAAGTTTTACTAACCCGAAACGCCCGCTGCTACATATCCTCCGTAATTTCCATACCAAACGCCAAGAGTGGAAAGTAAGAAATTAGAGGCGTAAAAGGGAAATACGCTGTGTGCATGGATGTTCATTTAGGTGTGCATTTCACAACTTTGTTCCGTTTCCTCTGATTCGGAGTTTAATCTGATCCCAAAAAGCAGAGTGCCTCCTCCTCGCAGAGTTAATTTGAGGATAGGAATTTGAGAGGGAAGGGGCTGGTGGGAGGGGGCGAGAGGTACGATCAGGCTAATTAATTGACTCAAAGGTTCCTTAAATCAAACATTATTAAGGGCAACTTTCACCGCAAAAGTTTTAACAAGCTCGCATTCTAAAATTGTAGCAAAACAGGAGATAGGACGGAATGAGGGGAGAGCTGTTTAAAAAATGGATGGTTTTCAGGCCTGGGACTGGTCCTTATCATCACACCGAGTCGTTTGTTCCACTCTGATCCGACTGTTGAGCTGAGCAGTAGCAGGAGGGAGCGCAACTTTGTTCTCGGGGCTGCCCAAGATAAATGATCTCAAAGGAAGAAAGAGATCATTAAAGGAGAAAACACGAGACTACCTTCTTCTTCCGCTTTGGGCCCAAATTAGAGCAAGTGAACGAGAGGAGTCGTATTTACAAGGCGAGTTGCACAGCGAACCAGTTTAATTCTGACAATGGACACTTTACGCTCCAAAGATCTCCAACAACTTTGAAGTTGGTTCAGACTTTCAACTTTCTTTGTAGATTGGGAATGGAAAGTAAGCAGGAGCAGAGACTTGTTGGGTGGGATCAAGAAGAATCTAAATACATGACCAACCATTCACTCACTCCCACCCGTGTTGCCCGCCCAACGTACGGAATTCTTCCTCTTCTTCTTCCTTGGCATGCATCCGGAGGAACATCAACCAAGATCATGTGCATGCTCATCATCTCAGGTCTCGATGTTAATCAACTTTCGTGATTGTAAATTAGTGAGCTCATCTTCTCGGTAAATGAATAAATGATGACTGCATGGAAAGTGGGACACGAGTGACAACAACCAAACCGACCGAGATTAGGTTACAAATATGCAACAAAGATACGTATGTGCATAAGTGGCGGCAGTGCTGCCAGAGGAGGAGGATCTTTTGCATGGCATGGGAGAACAATGGCAGAGAGATAGATGGGAAAACGGGGAGATTTTACGGAATCAGTTATTGTTGGGTCGTTTCATTTGTCTCTTTTGGATCCAATCTCAATTTGGGATAAACTCAAAAGGGAGGAAAATCAGAGAAGAAATGAGAATTGTTTTGGAGACTCATAAAGTGCATCGTAAAAGTGAGAAGAATTGCCACCTGTGCAGAAGACGGTGGCTGCTGCTGCTGCTGCTGTCGTTGGTGATGGGGCCAAAGGCCTTCGGCAGCGGGGAGAATGAGATCCAATTCCGTGTCCCATTGTTTCTGCTGTTTGCAGTGAAGTGGTTGTTCGAGGAGGTGGCTGGTGGGTGGGAGGTGGTGGTGCTGGTGGGTGGAGGGCTGCTCTGCTGGCTGTGTGGAGACTCGTGGTCGGGCGAGATTGGGAGGATGACGAGTGTGAACTGACGGGACTCCCGAGATTTCCTGTCACACATTGAAACATGAGATTGCATACTTAGGTTTACACGACAGACTCAATAATAATGCAATGTTGCGGCTGAGGTGCTCCTCCAGACATACACTTTCTTAGGGCAGAGTAAATAGCATTTATGACAAGCACTTTCTCCGCTAACTTTCTCTTCCCCTTCTTCCAGAACATGGAGCAAAAACGGAAAGGAAAAGGAAACGATGATCCATAACATAACAACAAAACAAACATCACCATACAACGTGCGACTCCTGATGAGGACCTTGCACGAGGATGGCGAATGTGCAAAACTACTTTCTCCTCCTTTCTTGGTAGGAGGGAGAAAATCGTCACAAGGTTCACAAAGAGCACGAGGAAATAGAGTGTGCATCCCACAAGAGTAAAACAAATGTGAAGGAAACATGGAGAGAAAAGCTAAGGACGAGCACATATCTAGCTGCACAGGATCTGATTAAGCAATGGCTGACCACAATGGGTAGTCGTGACCATGTAAATATGAGAGGGATGAAATCAGACCCGAGGCAAGAGAGTCGAGGGGTCACATAGTTGGCGAAGTATCTCTCGCACTCTTCTACGACACGATGTGCTACTGGGTTATGGAACAGCATGCAATGACGGGGAATGTTTGGGAGAGAAGCCGCAGCTGGTGTATTAGCTACCTCGTTAAGATTATGAGCCCAGACGTTGTTATGAGTGCCACTCACGCTGGATGAGAAGAGGGATGGCAAATCCGAGTCGCGAGGTGGGGGAGGTGGACAGATGGAGATTGGAGTGCTGGTGTTGGCCGTGCCGACGGTCGACGTGGGGGGCACGAGGCGTTGTTGGACAGCTACGTTATTATAAATGACCGACGTGGACGACGATGTCTCAGCAGCAGCTCCTCCACCACCACCACCTCTGCCCTTGTGAGATTTGAGACTTCCAGTCGGCGTTTTGGAGGAAATTGTCGCTGCTGACTTATTAGCTTTTCCCCCAAAGTGGAGAACGTCACGCTCGCCACTGTGACTCGAGTCCACCCCAGAAGACGAGATTGACTCGGGCTGACAGCAGCATTCTCGCAGTAAATCACCAGAGTCCTCCAGGCATGACGTGTGCAGGACCCACTCCTCAGGATGCCCCACTCCGCTCCCACCCAAAGAAGAGCTTGTGGCGTTGCTGACACTGAAGACCTGACCACAACCACCACTGACACTGCTAACTGAAGAAACCCCACCACAACCAACAGAACCACTGATGCTTGAACAGTTAGGCGTCGTCTTGGTGGTGGTGGTGGGGTGGCGAGTGTGATTGTTTGTGGGGTTGGTATTGATGCCCACGATGTAGGAGGAAGGTCCAGTCCCATACACGGAGGAGTCGTCCTCCAAATCAACATTCGAATGAATGCCAGCAGCACCAGGAGCAGAAGAACTGCCCAACTCTCGACGTGGCACGTTCTCCAACTTTTTCCTCGCCAACTGGGCCTGGAACTTTTTGAACCCTTTGAGGTTGCAGAATGGCTTTCCGCCCCCTCCGGCTCCAATGTTGTTGCACTCACTGCTGCCCCCAGACGTGGCTCCAAGGCCACGTTCTGGGGTTGTCCCGAATGAGCAAAGGTCACTCTTGTTTGCATCGTCCATTGCGGCGGCCCTTGACGACCGCAACATGCCTCACTCACTACACACATTACCCACCTTTGAACAGCACCTGGAGCACTTGGAGGCGTCCTACAGACAGCGGGACTACACTTTCCCTAGTGCCGCAGCCACAATCACGACTCGCACCCAAGATCACTTCTTCTTCATGGAATGAGGAGGCGTGAGACGGTCGGAGCATTATTATTATTATTATTCCTATCTCTGCGAAGAGCGAATACATGGAGAAAGTTTACCACGTGCTCGCTCCCGATCACCGCACTGAGATTTTCCACCAGCACCAACCACCCACCGCATTTTCAACTTTTCTCATGACTCAATTCCTACTTTGTTCGCTCACTCAGGATTTAAGACGAAGGGAAGAAATACAAATGGAAGGAGTGTGTGTGGGCCGACCACAAGTATAATGTGTACACCACTCACTTGGACCAACAACTAATCACGGGAATGAGAGTCTGTCTGTCACTGACAGGATTAGTCATTTCTGGCCGACAAACTCATTAATTATATCATGTCCAATTCCCCACTTTCCAACCAGCTTCTTGCTCCGACACTTTCTCCAAACTAAACTGCAGACTCGCTCGCTCCCTGCCTGCCTCCTTATTGTGCCCAATGCAACCTGACAAAACCAAAGGAGCAACTTTTTCCCATCACCTACTGCCCACAGTTATCCACTCCTCTAACCCCAAAGTTATTCCGAAAAGTGAACTCTGCAGAAACAAAAATCGTTCCCTGGCCCTGCGTCTACGTTATTGCGTTGCTTCTTCGTAGAAAATGTGTGTGGCTGTTGTGGTGGTGCCTGAAGGCTGCATAGGACAAGTATCGTATTATTCTGGGAGAAAGTCTCAGAGAAAGTGATTGTTTCTCGATAGAAAATACGAGTGAGTGAGAGAGGAGTCGAAGAACCACCGCGCTGGTTGAAGTTCAGCCCAAGACTGGCCGGAAAACGAAGGGTTGAAGTTGGTACAAACCGAGCCGACGGAGGAGCAGATAAGCAGCAAGGCAAAAGCAACAGAGTGGAGTGAGACTCCGCTCATGCACCACGAGCCGTATAACTAAATAGCCATCGTGAGCTTGCTTTCTATTTACGCTGGATTGGAATCAGTCGTCCGGTTTGGTTGGGCTGCTGCTGAATGAGAATATATCTAGAAGGGAGAAATGGTGAGAAACTCGTGCTTTCTCCACCACCAGGAACATGGATATTTCTTGCCTATTTTTACCTCTACTCTTGCATACGATGTTAGGGAAGTATGTACATGGATGTATATATGGAAACAGTCAGCAAGGGCTTCAGTTGGTGTATCAGTAAATACAACGGCGGTGGACGTGTGCCTTTTCGGTGGATATTATTTGCAACAACTTGGCTTCCAATTTCGGCTCAAAGGGAAAAATGCAGTTCATTGTAAAGCAGTGAGAAGCGGTCGTGCTTGGTGTAGCGTTGGTCGTTGGGCAGGAGAGAGAAAGCTGATTTCCATCAAATTTAATTCTGCCTTTGACGTTGAAAAATGGATTACACGAGGAATCAGCCGGGATAAAGTTCAAGAAAAGTTGAGCTAAAGATTGATTATGAGAAAGATTGGGTCACAACAGACGGACGGATGTAGATTTCTTGATTTCTTTTACACTCACCACACCTGCAACATGGAAAATAGCACAGCAGACGCTCGCCCTTCTTACACACCCCGCACACAACTTTATGCACTTTTAGCTATTCGGCACTTTAGTGGTCGTGTAGTGTTTTTCTGAGAGAGGCGTGTTCAAAAATAACATGCTCCAAAAACGTCTAATTTGGTTCAAAGAACGACCTTGTTCATTTCCTCATATCTCGAAGCAACAATTCATTCCCCTCAAATTTGAGTCGTACGAGTTCATACGAAGAGAAAGCAATTTAGGCATAAATGTAAATGTTATGGATAAGCTAGTATTTATGAGCACATATGAGAATGTGCTTCGTCATCACGTGATTTTGTGCAGTGAAACGTTTCAAAAAGATGCAAGAGGCGAAAGTCCTGTAGGTCTGAATTGAGAACAAGGAGAACGCACGCACAGAGACAGACAGACACGGCCTTTAAGTGAAAACATTGTACAACTCCATGTGCTGTTCAATTATTCAAGAAATTGGGCTCAATTTAGTGAACTATTCCTCCACCAGACCGCTAATAAACTGCAGGGTTGGAGTGGGGTGGATAGAGGCAGACGTTGACAGACTCAAAGTGAGAGAAAGCGAAAGTGAGACGAAGGGAGGGAGGGAGGAGGTTCGTAGGCGGATGTGGATGGTAATCAACCACACGTGTTCTCTGAATAATGAATAGTATTCATTGAATACTCAAATGGTTGAGTGAAATGGCAGAAAGGGAGAGAGATCGTGGGACAACAAACAAGTGATCACATTGGTTAATGCCAAACGAAATAAACCAAGAGTGCAGTGGGGAGAGAGCGAGAGACTCAATGGAGCAGTTCACAAAGTCCCGAACAAACTTGGCAAGATAAGGGAAATGACCTCTTTTTATCTACTTTATTGACTCTAATTATCGGATCACAACTCGTAAGCGTTTTGCTGCAGCTCTCTGAATACGATCATGGACCAGGTTCGCTTCTCTCTGCGTCAGGGTTTTCTCCATGTGACGATACACGATCCGGTAGCAGTGGCTCATCTGACCCTTCTTGGGATGGAAAAACTCGTCAACCAATGACACCTAAGCAAACAAAAATAGTTCGTTTTAACTTAACGGACAGATAGACAATTAATTGGGACTGTTATTTGAGAGTTTTACTGTCGAATAAAGTAGTAGTCGTAGCCGTCGTAGAGCGGCCATAATCAAGATGCGATGGGAGATATAGATAGATATGTATGTACCTGTTCAACAACGTCGCCCCCAACTGATCGGACTGTGTCATAAAAGTCAGCGCTGGAAAAGGAACCGTCCGCAGGGAGCCAAAAACTGATGTCATTTGCACAAGACGGGAACACGCTTATCGGCTGCAGTCCAGGACCATCCGTGCAAAACGTGGCACAAAGTGAAATAAAATATTAAACAAACATGAGAGAATGAACAATAGTGATGCCCACCCATCTAATACAAGCACTCGCTCGTCGCCATTACTCAACAGACTATAAATAAACCTGCGTATGTACGTATTTACGAGGGCATGGGTGGCCAATAATATCTCACTAAACGAAAAGTAGCAGCAGCAGCAGCTTTTAAAAGGTTTCAATCAAGGAACTTTTTGAAGCATACGTACATCGCGGCAGTATCAAATCTTGTCGAAGAGGAGAAATAAATCATGGCGAGATATTTTATGAGAAGGGTCGAAAATGGCTCCAGACAGAAGAAGTTTTGCAACTCTCCAGTTTCACTCTGGTTCGTGCAGTCCGATATCAGTCGGCTTTTGCACAAAGGAAAGTTGCAAGAAAACTTTCACTTTTGAGTAAGTGGAACCTGGTGCTGAAATGGATGAGGTTCCTCTCGTTCCTCGTCTCATTCATTCATTCACCACCACCGACCAGCCAGCCAGCCAGTCAGCCAACAAAGAGAAAGATAGAAAGTCAAACATACGAAGGAGAGAGAGAGAGGAAGAAGAGTGAAAGCTCTGTCGTCACTCTCTGACCATGTATTGGCTGGCTGGTGAGTGAGCGAGTGAGGAAATGTATTTCGTGGTGTGATACACAGGAAACTAAACACATCGTCCTCCTCCTCCTCCTATTACTATAAATATATACTTGCACTCTGGCCAGCACTACGGCGACATACATATCTGGTCTCCCAGACTGTTTCAGTTTTAGTTTGACTTTGCTTCATTGTTGGTTCTTGTGGTTCATGCGGTTTGTCTTACGTGACAAGTAGAATAATGGACAAAGTGAAAAACTCTCCACGAATAAGGTTGAAACTGGTTGTCATCAACCAATGTCGACCCTCTGTCCTCGTTGGACTGAAATTTAGCAGTCGCCAAATTGAAAAAGAGCAAGGGACACAGAAAGAAAGAGTGTATGACCCGTGTGTCGCAAGTAAACGAAATTACCAACCAACTTGGAGACAAAACAAACATCCTAAAACTGAATAGCTGGCTACAGTCAGTTAAAGTAATGGTGATGGCGGTGAGCTAGGTTTTTGGTGGGCGAGTGTATGAGCTAGTAGAAAAGGAAAAGGACTTACTTTGTAACTGATCGGGGCGTACGGGTCCTCCACTTTAAATTGATGGAGAAAGCCTGGGTCAATACTCCAGAATAACCTGGAAAAACATATGAGTAGACACATATAACCTTGACATGGTTCAATTGCAAGTGTAACTCTATATTTTTTGACGTACTTGCGACGTCGTTTTGGACATTTTTGTTGAGACCCGTTACTATTTTAATGAGCTGAATCAACTACTATCCGTAAAAAAAATTCACAGTTTTGGATATATTTGAGTAAGAGAACGAGGAGTCAACTTTTATAGACTGCATATAAACATATGTAAGATTGGGACATTTTTATTTGTCTCAGTTTGCGTAGCTCACTTGATTCGCAACAATAAGCCAACTTTCTTTAGATTATACAAGTCAATGAAGCTCCACCCACGCACCTGATATCGGGGATTTCATAGAGTCTCATCGCCAGACGCTCTACTCCCAGCCCAAACGCCCATCCAATCTTCTCTCCAGCACCAGCTTAAGTGGGGAGATGATAGAACCAACCATACGACGACCCAACAAGAAGAACAAAAAAAACACGCACAACATCAACGTTAAAGTCAAAAGAGTACGATACTGATGAAATGAAATAAAATAAAAAGTAATTCCAATTTAGCAATCCGCTTCCCTCCATCGCGAGAGGAAAAAGCCTCATCATCCTCCTCCAGAAGTATCGCAGAATAAGTATCCGCAAAAAAACCAAACCAAATGAAGACTTACAATTGTTTAATATAGCTTGCTCCATTATTCCACATCCCAGCATTTCCATCCACTCGCCATTAAATTTAACTTCCAGTTCCCAGGATGGATGCGTAAAAGGGAAGTATGTATCCACCCAGCGAGCTTCCACGTCTGCAAAAAAAGTCAAACACAAAACCAAATCAAAGAATCCATCAAAAATCCATTACTGTAAGTACCCCATAGGTTGTAACAATCTAGCAATCAGTCAATCAATCAGCTTCTTTTCCCTTCACCACATAAACCTTTCCAAATATTGCATCGTCGTCAAGACCTGCTCTATACTCGTGGATTATTTTATGATAACCCTCGACAAGATAATATTCGTTCTCGGCCATGAATGCATGAGCTATACATGAACAAGTCACATCGGAAGACGCATTTTTATTAAAGATTTTGGAGAAAGCTATACGAGTTTAGTGCGTAGAGAGGGGGAGAAAGTGCTTCTTACCAGCCCCGAATAGATGTTGGACCAGTTTGAGCAGGGTAGATTGCAAACTCTGAGTCATGACCATCACGGCATCTATTGTGTGGGATTCCTGCTTTCCCGGAGTTCGACTTTCTCCTCGATCAAATAGCCGGAGTTCTTTGGCGACCTCCTCGTCTTGAAATACTTCATGTAAACCACATAATCGGACGCCTTCCACTTGATGAAAGATTGGATAGTGGGTGCGGTCTATTTCGTCTCTTCTGTAGACATCCCCCACCACCAAGAAATTGTTCATTCCTTGCTGAATCAACTCGGACTGGTGTGCACTCGTGTGAGCTCGAAGCAAGTGTGACTGGTTAATGTAGTAACAGTCCGATTTATTTCTTGATGGATGATCCTTTGGCACTACAATAGGGATTGTAAATTAGAAAAATCCCATCTCATAAAGCTTCATCAATGCACAATGACAATAACTAATGTATCAGAAATAATAAATGAAATACCAAGAAGCGAATCAAAGTTCTGCACTGTCGTAACTACAGGGTTGAGATTGTCAAACACTGAAAACATTGGACTACGCATAGATCGACCGTGGAAGTTTTTGTAAAAGAATTCTGCAATCCTGTGTTTGAGCATTCCTAGAGGATGGTACTTTTGTCGGTGGAGACCACGGCCAATTTGACTCAGGATACGCTCCGTGACATTGGTCCAATCGTCCTTTGGGTAAGGCTGACTTTGGACCCTGACTAAATCCTTCTCCACAACATTGAGCAGTGGTGGCACTGGAGATGACAATGGTGGGGGCACTTCCTCGCTGGGGGATGACTTGCTCGGGTGTGGTGGTGACGAGGAGGAGAGATTTCTCACAAGGAAACTTTTCCCGAAATTTGGTTGGCGAAAACGGACGACACGAGATAACACAGAGCAGGAGCAGCTCGACATTTTCCGACAATTGTTTTACTTTTTAATGAGTATGCTTTCTCTTTCAAGTTGAGGCGAACTATGATTAATAACGAGACAAGAAATTCATGTTCAATGTTTGACTTTCACTCGCAAAGGAAGATCAATCACTCTGCAGATGTTGCATGCAGCCCGACTCGCGGCAACTTGTCCAGTCGTCTCAAACACAATGAGAGATCGAGTGTAACAAAGTTATGCAAAAATACTCACAATTTTTCATAGAGATAGTAAGTGTCGCGTCAGTTTTATTAAGCAATACATATTTCAAATTATTATCAACTATTTAACTAGCATCGCCCTAAAAGACGTCGGATTCCGTTGCAATATGCCACCCCAAGAATTCCGTTGACGAGATCTCGAACAGGAGCCGGAGTTCCAATCTTTAATGCTTCGTCAACAATCCCAGTCACATTCCTCGTCAGCGAGTTAGTCACCACTTTGGAGACTTGGTTGAACAAATGGTTATCGTTGTTGGTGACCCCGTTCATCATTGTTTGTTGTTGCTGCTGCAGCCGCTGTTGTTCTACGTTTGTGGGGGTTTGAGCTGCTGCAGTGACGATGGGAAGAGGGGGAGCAGCCACGGGCTGGGCTTGCAAATTCGTCGTGGGGGCAACATTTCCCCCGACGACGTTTCCAGTTCCCACCAACCCTGAGGAGACGCCGGATATGGCCGAGAGAATCTGTGCGTACATAGATTTATGTAATGTCTAGCATCTATATTAATTGAGTGAGTGAGTACTTATGTGAACTTGGGTCTAACCTGGTCGACAATCCCTCTCTGTTGTCTCTCCATGATGAGTTCGTCGGCTGCAAGGATTTGTTCGAGAAAGTTGACCTCATCAGGACCAAGGAGAGCGCGAGTTCGTTGATAAGCTCTGTTCACGGCCTCCTCCTCCTCGTGATTCAGCCCCCTCAGGCGATAGTCCTTTGCAATACCCTATAAAGGACAAATGTAATGTAGTTCTAGGTGTAAGGGTCACATCGACAAGTTTATTAAATGGTTGTTGTTGAAAGAGTACCGTGGATATGCAAAGGGTAAAAATCAGTAAGACTTGGGCTCTGGACAACATTGTGAATATGCTCGTATTTAGTAATTACACTCCTATGTGAACTATATTTTCTGGAGAACCCTTCTTTTATTTATAGCATTTTACTCCTGCCCTTGTTCTTGTTGCTTTGCAGCTCTTCTTGTGCAATGGATATATCTGTGACCTGCATGGAGTTGAATAATAAGTATTAGGTATGGAACTGGGGTGGAAGAGAAATGGCATCATCCAAAAAAATTATGCAATTAACGTTCCACAATAATAATGGCACCAACCATCCACAGTTTTGCTCATAATTAATTTCTGTTCTATGCAAACGCTAATTGCTTGTAGGACATGAAATAGATAATGCAACAGGGAGTTCAGACTAGTTCAGAGAGGTTGATTATAATCATATGACATTTTTACAGAGCGTCTTATCGCATTTATTTTGGAAATAGGAGTAATTAATTTGCAAAACTGGCTGTCTACGATTCGCACATGCGAGTGTTTGCGAATCTGGAGGGTGTACGGCCCTGGGGGGCTGAGTGAAGAGGGTGAGGGACGGCTGAGAAGCTAACGGTGCACACAATTGCCAATGCAGTCTGTAAACTAAAGGGAGTCCGAGCACATCTGATCCACTCTCTCTCTCCAACAATAATTTTCGCATTTGCATGTAACGCACAACAAGTGTGAGCAATATCGTTCTTGTCTATATCCATCCCTCGCTGGATAAGCTAATACTACTACTGCTCCCGTTCTGCTTATCATTGAAACCTTGACGATTACCCCATTGTTATGGAGTAGTCGTCGCCTGTGCAACAACGACGAAAATGTTGTGGAATATTCACACTAATTTTTTTTGCTCTTCTTGGGATGTGGTTCGCTCTACTTTCGAAATTTAAATTAAGGAATAAAAAAGTGTGTAGCACCAGCAGTGCGTCATCTATTTTACGTAAAATTACAAATCGTTCCGTAATTGGTGGGGCACAGGAACGAAGGGTGAATGATCCACCAGCAGCAGCTGTAAAACCTTGTCGTCATCAAATATTTAGGTGAATGAAGGATCTCCAGAAATCTAGTACTCCAAAAATGTCCTCCACCATGTCGCAAGGAGCAAAGCGAGCGTGGAAATTGCGTAAGTTCTTTAAAAAAATCATTTAAGTACTTTGGCTCTGAAGAATTTGATTGGACGCGTATTTGAGTGCTATAAATAGGTTGTAGAGAGATGTTCACATTATCACTAATATGGCCTCACGTGGTTATCTGTAGCTGGGGTTATTAAAAAGTGCGTGTTATGGATGAAAGACGAACTGTACCAGTAGTAGTAAATTTATTTGAAATCCGATAATGGTCGACTTACTCAACAAGAAGTGTTTTAACAAACATGATCAACTTTTCCATTGAGTGAGTGAGATTTCGATTAATTGAGATGAAGAGATTACTGACTAACTACCAATTTCATGTTAATTTCATGCGTAGTTTATTTTGCTTTGGGTGATAATACAAATAAAAACACTTTAGTCTGCCCTCTTTACTGATTTACTACTACTGAAAATAGAGTAGTATTAGTTCACACTTTGTTAATAATTATTGTCAAAAATTCTCAATTTCTGTCTCGTTGCCAATCTGAGATCATAATACTACATCATATTTATGTTGGTAATAAGGTTTGATCTGAAAATGGATATTTCGCATCAAATTTTGCTGAATGGGCTGTAGCAGATATATTTTTTAATAATATTGTTTTCCTGTACCATACAAAGTAGCGATGAACTCCGCTCGGATGAACCTGTTACAATAATTGAATCAAACCTTCGCAGTCACAGTGAATTAATATAAATAATTGAACACTAGGGATTTTAGCAAGTAAATGAAAAGCTGGCGACAAAGCTTCATCTGTCATAAATAAAAATTGCATTACAGTGCAGGTCCCATTTTACATTTTGTTTCCACTTTCCGATGTGTGACGCGACTGAAATTGTGGTTTTTGAGCTTTTGATTCTTGAAACGTGATTTTGAACGGTTCTGTTGAAAATAATTCACGACAACAAAGACAAGGAAGAGGTAGGCAGACATAAATATATTAGCAATCCAATATTTATGTGGTTAGAGCTGCTGTTAAATTTTATGACGATTGGCATGAGTCACGCTCATTTCACTTATTGAACAGAGAGATAAATTAAACCTGGTTTAATATTCTTAACGTTCTGATTTGATGTTTGAAAACGAGGGTGATGTCGAAAATTCTCGTTTCTCGCCATATTTTTGTGCTATTCCTCTTAAAGATTAGTTTTACTGAAATTTCCCATTGCCAAGTATATATGATCTGTATGTAATACTTTGGTTTGGTAGGTCACAGCGGCAAAATGCGTTTTTAGTGTATTGCACATTTGTTGGATTCAACGACCAATAAAGTGGAGTTCCGGTGATGGCACCTACTCACTCATTAGCTTTTTTGTTGATAAATAATTGCTGCATCATGTTTATTTTACAGTTCAAGCAATCTCCATTAAAAAATTGAGTTACTGGCTGGAGTGGTAGGAAATTAATTAAATGAACGGCATTTATTTTGTTCATTAAGCACTTCTTACCTCTGAATCTAGTTCAACGTGTATAGTTTCGCTTACATGATCTTGGAGTCATTGTCATTCAGGGACAGGATGAAAACACGCTAGTAAAATATCACTATTAATAAACTAAAAACTATCACGCTACAAAGCAGAGATATTCATTTAAAAAAACTTTGTTACTACTCAAAGAGAAAAGTAAAACTTTTGAGATCAGACGTAAAAATTAATTAGAATTTTTATGGTTCCTCGAGCGCATCTTCAATTTTTACAAACGTTGAGTAAACTGAAGCAAGTTCATCAATCTTGTAAAAAGTAGTCGTATGTAGACCTGCTGCATTGCACTAATATATGTAAACTGGTAAAAAACGCTTGAAATGATGTTGAATTGCTGATGCTGTGGATTATTTAGTTGGATGTTGCGAGAGAATTATGACACGAGTCCAACTTCCAACACCTCCTCATTTAATATCGCTGCTATCACGGTGGCGAACAGGATTCGCGTAGTAAAATTCTAGAAAAAGCTTAATGTGGTAATTTTACCTACAGACGTAAACCTTCAGGTTTCAAGGTGAAATTAAATGCAATAATTTTTGCATTGATTATTGAGTCCACCCAGATACAGATTTAACCAACTAATATTTTCCATTATCTACTTATTTAGTGAGGAGATTAGGGAAGAAGAAGGTTGCCTAAATAACTGATATCAGTATCTGGTGAAGTAGTGTGTGTACAATACATACACACACAAGTTGGATAACTTGCAAGAAAATCAACCATAATAGGATTTAATTTAATGAACCATGTTCTTTCCTACTGCAATCTTTAAATGGTTTTGCCTTCTTGACTTCTCTGTTCTGAAGATGTATCCAATTGGTCGTAAAATTGCCCACTGTTAGAAATAATATAGTATGGTTTTTGGTTATATTATAAACGACGGAGGTTGACTTATTTTGAGGGTTGGTTATCATCAGATTAGCTGTCCTTCCATATATCAGGATTGTATTTCAAAAGAGATTCTTGCCCTGCAGTTAACCTACTAAGGAGGGGAAAATGGTTTGTTGTTAATAAAAAAATATTAGTATGAAAGTTTGCCAAAAAAAGTCATAGAGGGTATTCATTGAGGGTATTCATTAGGACTTCGCATGTTCGCATCGCAACATAACTTTTTCGAAATTGCGAATTTTGCGAAGCAACAAAGTGAACACACTTTGTTGACACTTTGAAAAATTTGCGAAAATTTGGTATACAAATGTCTCGAATTTTGCAATGGGAAAAATGTTAATTTCCATTAGTTACCGAAGTTTTGCGTCTGAAATTTACCAAATAAGAAATTTTAAAAATTCCAAACCCCAAACTTCCGTAACCAATAGAGATTTATGGAGTTTTCCTATTGCAAAAGTGAAAAATATTTTGCGAACTAAATACTAGCCTTGGAGATGCGCAAGTTCGCAAGTCAATTTTCAAGCCAATAATTTTTGCGAACTTGCGAACTTTATTGTTTTGCGAACGTTGCTAACGATGCGAACTCGAAATGAATACCCTCATTATTTCTTCGTATACTTAGTATTCTTCGTATCGTAAAATAACTTACGACGCTTACGAGATTTTGTAAGCTTCGTAAGATTTTCTCATCGAAAAACGCGTTACTACGCTTACGATGTTTACGAAGCTTGACCCCTTGTTTTTTCTTCGTAGTTCAAAGCCGAAAATTCTCACTTGTACATGATCATCTAATTTCTTTCTCGCACTCCTATCTGTCACGAAAAGTTTTCAAATTATTCATCCGGTGTGAAATAAATTTTCTGAAATTTGAAAACTTCCAAATAACTCAAGAAGGTAAGACGAATCTAATTTTAAAAAGTGTTCACGAACTAATTTCACAATCAAATTGTAGAAGAAATGGCACCGAGAAAAAAAATAAAAGAAGGAGAAGTGGCGAGTACTAAAATCGGGGATGAAGCAGCAACTAAAACACGAAGATGTTGGACTTCAAAAGAAATCGAATCTGTTTTGCAGCATTTAGTGGATGTCATAAAATCAGGAAAATGTATTGAAAAACCAAACGCTACTTCATTTTATGCAACTCTCCTTCAGAAAGTGATCCTACCAGACTGCTCATCTTCCCAGGTTCATCATCAAGTTGGAAATTTGAAAAAAAAGTACCAACAAACTTTGACATGGAGGAGTCAGACAGGCCAAGGAGTGTTAGCGGAGCATGGAGAGCAGTACTTTAAGGGTAAATACGCTTTAATTTAAAGTATCTTATCATGATTAGGCCAGCGTATAATTTTTCTCGGTATTCAGATACAATTAAGCAAATGTGCCCTCATTTTGATACCCTGGACGAGATATTTGGAGAGAAGCTCAGCATCAACCCTCCATTCACTCTGGATTCCTCTGAAATAAATAATGACAACGGTCAGCAAGTCCCGGCGGATAACTTTTTTGACTTGAACGACCATTTAACAAACGTTCAAGAAGTCGGACCGTCACAAGATAACCCAATTATTCGCACTGGAACTAAGCGAAAATCTCGGTCGCCGATCCCCTCCTCAGGATCAAAAGCGTTGTCAGATCTCATCATGCGACAAGAAATGCATAAAGCGGATATCGAATTTCAACGAGAAAAATGGGACTTTGACAAGCATCAGAAAGAACTACAACTTGAACTACCAAAACAGCAATTTGAAGTAGAAAAGGAGGTAAAGTTTAAACAGTTTGAGCTAGAGCAAGAGAAAATCCGGAACCAGTTTGAGGTGGAAAAATATCGAATTGATCAAGAGATGAAATTCAAGCTAGAAATTGCCAAATTACGTACACCCGTTCAAAATAATTAATTAGTTTGGTCTTACACTTAACTTATAGGCTTAAATGAATTGTTAAAAAAAATTCGTTTGTTAAATTTTTAGTTGCTTACTCGTAAAAAATGTGGCAACTCAATAAACTTTGTAATATAATTTACAAAAACTACAATCCCAACTTATTAATCACAAAATAAAAAATCTCCTCTCGTTTTGCATTTCGGTAAACATGATGATGTGGGGGGTTTATTTCATCCTCGTCTTCAAAGTAATCATCCCCTTCAGACGGTTTGTCGAGAGACTCCAGAATAATGTTATATAAAATGCAACAAGCAGAGATCCATTCGCACGCCAGTTTGTGTCCACCCTCGTCGTTAATGCGCGCACGAAGTTCTTTTAGACTGCAAAATGTTTCTTTCAAGACTCCAAATGTACACTCGATTTTCACCCGATAACTTGCGAAATATTTATTGAAACCCTTTCTTTGTCTCTCATTGCCAAAGTTGGAGTTCCTGCGAAAGGGAGTAACAACTTTGTCTGTGACCGGGTATGCAGAGTCTCCAGCAATCCATTGACCTTCAGATAAAAATAGTTCGGGATGTTTTCCAATCTTCGAATTGCTGAAGACACGGGCGTCATGTGTTGAACCAGGATATCCAACAAAAATATTGATTATTTTTCTAGAGTTGTCACATACGGCCTGGAGCTGAATAGAATAATTTTGCTTCCGGTCAAAGTACGATTCTGGATCAGTGTTGGGAGATTCTTCCAAATTAATGTGACTTCCATCAATGTAACCGATGCACTTTGGCAACTCAGCTTCCATTGAATTTTCGATAACCTTCCGGTCTTCTTGAGATGGCCACTTGATCCAATCGTTCTTTAAATGAAGCAGAGCCTACATTTACACAAATAAAATTGTGCATGTATGAGAGGCGTATGAGGTATTAAAACTAAAGTCGGACCTTAATCACTCGTCTAACTGACATCATCACAGTGCCACCGTCTCCAACACCAAATAAAGCTGCCACGTTTCCTACTCCTGACGCTGTACCGTTGGTTCCAAACTTGTATAAAGCAATTGCTAGTTGTTTTTCGATTGGAATTTGTTTCTTCGTTACTTCTTGAAAAACAGAGTGGCATCTAATCATTTCCAGAATTCTTCCAAAGTCAAATCGTGTGACACGAAGATATTTCTTGAACCGAGTGTCGTCATACGAGGCCAACACACTGAGGTACCATTCATCTGATTTTGGGACTCGAATTCTCGGAACAGAACACCGTTGCGACTGAATTACTGCAATAATTTCAAAGTATTCCAGAATTTGCTGGTCGATTTCTCCCTCATCTTCAGTTAGGATTGCGGTAGCTGCAGCATATTCCCCAATATCACTAACTAGTTTTAACTTTTTCGACACTCGAGGCATTGTAGTAAGTAGATTTGATGATTAGTTAATTTTTATTAAAGCTTAAATCGGGTGCAATTTATGAATACAGCCAAAAGGATCTAATTTTTATGAAATTGTGAATTTTTACGATGTTTTTTGTGTGGGGCGTTCATAATTAGATCGTAAGCTTCGTAAATTATTTTACGATACTAAGGATACGAAGAAATAACGAATACCCTCATAGTTTTGCAACATTTTGTCTTTTCTTCATTTATGTATATGTAAATGGTGGGATGCCGTTTATCAATTTTGAATTTCAAAATTGATGCAATGCACATCATTCAAAATTTGAATTGCATACAATACATATACAAAACTACATTTGCCGTCTGAAATTCAAAGTTTAATTTAAATTGTTCGATATTATGTATTAAGTTAAAAACTAAATTGCTAAATATTTAATTTAGATTTGGCCCAACAAGTATTTAGCCTAAAACCGCCTATATCTTGAGAATGGTCAGACAGTGATGATGACCAGTTCTTTGCAGATCATATTCGCCAGTAAAATACGAAGAGAGATAAAATTACGAGCATTCCACTTCTACCAACCAACGGTCAACTTGCACCAAATATGGCAACTTGCAAGGCATTGTTCGTTGAATTTACAACGAAGTAACTCCTACGTACTTTCTTATGACGAATAATGACGATCGTATATTTTTTTGCGATAGCATAGAGCAGCACATGATACTGTTCATTAAGGTTGCATAAAATAATCCTTATGCATATGTTATGTAGTTATTATGATGTGGTCAAGATTGAATTGCAAATATATAACATGAATTCGTGATAGACTCGCTTCGATAAGTTAGACTCAATAGATGGCCGACAATAATCACTCGGAAGCGTCAGTCATCACACACAGCAAAATATCCTACCTAGCCTAACTAATTTAATGTATAATAATGTCTTCGAGGTTCTTGTACTTATTTTAATCCCACTGTTTTGTCGAGTTTATTATTTAAAATTGCGTGGCGTTACGCAAAAGACTTGCATTTTATTGAATGCAAGAGCAGCAGGCGAGTGCAATCAATGTTAGGCGATGAAATTCGCATGTTCTTCTCGGTTTTGGCAATAAATAAGCTGCAGAACTATAGTGCATATATTTGTATACGATGCTTTATTGAGTGAGAAGGTGAATGAAGAGATATACTTTATTTTGGCCAACTCCTTCCTATTTCATTATGCAAGTTTAGTCAATATGACTTGCGTTTGTTGTTGTAATATTCATCATCTTTCGAACTGAATCTGTCTTCCGCAGTATTAGAGTCATGCTATGTTGGTCTGATTTAAGTTCCTCTATTTGCCTGTTGTTGTCACCACCACGTTCACGATTTGCCATTTTTAGTTGGTGGATGCTCGATGCCGTTCAACTTGGCTACACAACAAAATCCATTATCACAACGGGATGCAATTTCACATTCTTTAGCAATTTGTGCATATATGTCTTTGTTAGTACTTATTATGCGACTTGTAATTGCTACGTTCCCTATTAATATTTTCTCCTAAAAAATTTGGTCTAAGAGATTCAAAAATATAGTGTTTTCAATGTATTTCGGCCACTTCTCGAGAGCAAACAAATTGATCCTCCATTAAGTCGTACGACTTATTGTTCCGGACTTGCAGTTCTGGCATATCGGTCGACGGTTCTCTTCGGCTGGATTATTTCTATGTCTCGGCTCCAACATGCGATGGTGCGTGACATGGTTTTATTTGGGAATTAGTTTTTAGGGAATTGGCAATAAATATTTTACGACAAATTGGAAATTCAGAAAAGTGTTTGAAATTAACGTGGCAATTTTCTCAAAATTAAGGAAGGTGACCTGTATTCTTATGTTGCAATTCGGAAGCGCATATTTACTGTTCTAGATTTGAAATCCTGGTGGTAGCACAATAGCAGAGTTGTGTATGAAATGATTCATATATTTGCAAAGATAAGCAGGTTGCAGCATCGATGTTCAATGAACGAGCCATGTTTCATGGAGTGAACACTAGAATCCATGTAGTTGTCCTATCTGTTCTACATGGAGACAACTGCATGGAACCCTCTTCTTGTCTGTACTACTTACTTTGTGTGTTCTTCTGTAGCTCATGCTGGGTCGCGTGTTCCACATTTCGGTTGACAAATATTGAATTGGTGCTAAATATTGATCTTCTTGCTGGTATCCAGAATTCTGGGTGGACATTATTGATGAGTAACATCTGCATATGCCAGAAGAACACACAAGAGTTGACAGAACATCTGCGTCACCAATTTTTTAAAAGTAGGAAAGAGTTTTACTGCTGGAGTCAGTAACCTGTGCAGGAGAGAGGAAAGCTAATGAAATTTCATCCAAACCCACGCCACCGGAACGTTAACGGTTGTGGTACCACCAACCATGTCTACGTAGACCGCGTTCTGCTCGTACTTGAAATCCACTAAACAATTGCAATATGAAATGTGGTACAGGTCAGCATGTCACTTACGCAGTTTCAGTCTTTATCAGACAATTACTTGTTGTAATGTACAAACAATTTGTCACTAAATCAATGTAGAAACCATGTACAGCACACGTTATGCTACCTGTACCATGTACATATTTACGTATGCACATGTCTCTTTTTGAACAGTGGATATTTTTACCGATAGAAAATACAATGCTTTAGTGATATGACGTTGTAATATCCGTTCTACTTGCCACTTTGTGGTCCCCACCTTGTATTGCAACAGGGCACGAGAGCAAATTCTGATTTAAATCGCAAATTTTTTGGTCTGATTTACATTTAATCGACCAAGTCAAAGTTTGCGCAAAATAAATATTCGCAATTTTTTCAAATGATTCTCCTTACTCTTTGCTTTGCTGCTAAAACTTTCAACTTTGCCCTTGCTCGCCCGAGCTGTATTTCGTATGTGGATCAGCCAAAAACAGTTTCTCACGGGCAGATAATACCTTGGGTAATACACTCGATCAGGGCCGTAATGCTTATCTCAATGCGTATTTCTGTTACTCCGATTCATCATGAAATTCAATGTGGACAAATTATTAGATGTGCGAAATTTTGGTAATGTTGGGTGGACAGCAACCAAGTCTTTCACCTTGTTCTTAGGAAGTTGTTGACACACACGGTTGACAGTTCGCCCAAAATTAAGGCAACCAACAAACTTGAAATTGGAGGAAAAGGAAGTTTTTTACACTTTACATATCCTGCACTTGAGATGGTATCAGACAAAAATCTGAAATTTGCATTCTTGTAGAAGTTGCTTTTGTACTTGTTTAAATGTGGTTGAGAGGCTTGAGAGGCTGACCTTATTGCCAATGTCAGTGTCAATAAGTACAGACAGAGTTACTAAAAAATATTCAAACTCATCACTCATGACCAATGATAACTTTGGTATTTACACAAGGATTTTGTCCAACGCACAATCACAATCAACACGATTTGCCAAAAACAATAGAGAACCAACGCAAGCCAGGAAGGATGTGATTCACCACTTCATTTTCCTGTGGTAGCATCAAAATTACGTTCATTATTCAATTGGGTGCTTGCTTTTTATCTCAATGTTGATGTCTATCTTATCAAATTAACCAGCAGAGATGAGGCATCCTGCTCGCAGGATTCAATTCCAAAAAGGACCTTTCCCACACGTTGTCAGTTTGTATGAAAAATAGTTAAATGTTTTGAAATAAAAAATCAACGGTGACATTTCACAAGTGAATCAAAACATCAAAAGTGGTTCGATTCGATCTGCAGTCTGTTTTGGGTGGGAAACTACCTTGACTCAATAATAAAGTAAAAGATAAGCGTACAATAAATAAGGTGAGGTTTTTATCAGCTCGTGCATTACCTTGGGCGGATTGGTGGGTTATACACTTGATTTATTCATTGCAAGTTTCAAATGACAAAAATGGAAAAAGAACTGTACTCGTACGCACTACTTGAAGGAAAATTATGCATACATACATGTCAACCATGAGAATGTTTGCTCTGCCTCTGCAATTTATTTACCAACTCGTTTCGATGGCTGGTTTAGTTAAGTGGAAAGTTGTTAGTAAATAAAATTAAAATTAGCAGACATTACTTACATGTGTACTTATTACACAGCGGATACTTGGCTGGTGTACAATTGTATAGTGCAATCCATACTTTGCATCTGGTCCTGAAGATCTGGTCTTACGTTTGCATTTATTTACATACACAAGTATGTGTAGCTTTGCAATTAATGTCTGGTTTATCGTATTGTTATCTACGTCGAAGTACGAATTATCGTCTGTACTATTATTTTTTACCTACTTGCCACGGCACCACAGTCAGTAAATTACACTCCCCGAGTGACATAATTTGCTCTGCTTAAACACTCTTGGTCCATTAATCATATCTTAATGTGCTCATTATTACAAATTCTTGAAAATGCATCATTCTTGTGTCATCATCACGGTGCATAATACGTGCAGGTGTTGTCGCCATTATGCATTTACAATTCAGCCGATTTATGTATTTCAAGCAAATCACCTTGAGAGAAGATTTTAAAACTTTCCCTCTAGTTGATTACGTCCACATTGCACCAATTTGCTGATGGAGAGTTGATAATAGGTTCTGCGCAATTAAGTAGCACCAACCAATAATACCTATCGTATCGTCACCATCATCGTCAGGATCAAGTCTCAGTCAGTCGTCAGTAATAACTCTTGGTAGCCCATATTATTCATCATTAGTTGAGTTAAATATTTAGGCAGTCTTTCATGTAGGAAGCTTCTTGCTACTGGCAAATATTTTTGAGAACTGAATTCTAATTTAACGACGAGACTTTTTTATTACCTTTTTTGGCTCTCTCTCTCTCATTCGCAGTTAAGACAAACGTTGGTCAGTGACAACTTGACAAAGGACGATGGACGAGACTGGTAATCAATTGCCAAATATGAAGTTAAATATGTAGACAGTGATGAGATGATGATGACTTATTGACGCTTCCATCATCACCAACATTGCTGGCAGTAAATACTTCCTCAACGAGGCAATAAAGTCTGTTGACTTTACCTATTTTGAGCTGCACGACGCTTCTTATTTAACTTGCCTTTTTACTTACTTCCAATTTTAGTCAAAACGGCGTTGTTTGTACGGCAGAGTAAATTTGTGTAGCCTGTGCATGTGACAAAATGCATCATCAGTCAACCCATCGAATCGACCGCTGTTGATTGGATGGGTAGGTTTTTGTTTTGAAAATGTTGAGGCTTAAGCCTTACTTTGTAGTAGTCTCATTAGGTTGCAGTTGAATTGATCGGCATATAAATTGCTTTCATATTGTGTGCGAGATGAACGTTTTGCTTGAACCAAGGTTGCGCCAGAGAAGAAAAATACATAGAGGAATCTTTGTACTTCACAAGTCGTGATAATGATTTACAATGTGCTCCAAATATGGAGCACTATCGTCGTTCTTGCACAATGGATTTCCATTCTCAAAAATATTGGCTCAATTTCTTGTGTGAATTGCGATTTTATCATCAGATAATTTGAACGTCTTGCAAACAAAGTTCATGGTACAAATTGTCGAGTTTGATTTCGACGAAATTCTAACTACTTGTGCCGTTGATTCAATAAACCAGTGTATGCGTGTGTAGCTGTCGTACCTCGCTTTTTTGTTATTATTTCTGATGCTAGCAATTGCTGTGTCGAGGGCCATGGCATTTTACGACACTTGAGAAAATTATCACCTCTTTGCAAAATTCTAACTGCGTGAGAATTCAAGGTGAATCAAATATTACGACTGAGAAATACAAGCTCATTTTCCTTGCTGTCGACAATCCAGCGCAAAATTATCTCAAAAGTGCTACATTTATGTTATCATTTCTTCTTTTGGTGATAATGACGAAGAAAAACCAGCGGAATCCCATCCCCTAATTGGCCCTCTTTTTCTTATCAATGTGTTAGCAAAGTAGCTAACTATGTTATGGATGCTTACTTACTTTACCCAATAGTGGCAGTGTATGTATTTACATACAGTGGTATGAAGTATGCAGTGTAGTGACATGGGGTGACGAATATTGTTAATAGAAACGTACTTGCCTAATTACACTTGAGATTTAAGTGTGAAGTTGACAATTTTTGTTTGCTTTTACAATCGATGTTTATTCAATGTCGCATACGTACATAGTTTATTGCTTTCATGCCAATTTTGTGGTCCGTGGTTGACATTTGCATTTAATGGAAACATTAAACATTTTCATTGTCACTTGACAAAGGAGGAGTTGAACATCTTGTATTGCTTTACATTTGCATCATCGTTCTTACGTGCGTATTTACGTACATACGTCGTCACTTTGTCGGGCGTAGGCTGTCATTCATTATTGCCAAATTATTCAACACTTATTTTGCAAAAGTTTGCGCTTATTTCTGCAGAATGCCACCCTGACTAAATAATAATGCATTTAAGAGTTATAAAACACCTGGTGAAGGTTATAATAGTGCATTATTTTTCAATATTATTGTAGCATTCTTGTTAGTTTCGCCTTATCACATCCAAATTAATTTATACTGGTGACCACAACCTTTTCCCCTATTAGAATTGGTATTGGTTGCAGGTGCAGCTATTTATTAATTTGCATGGTTCTGTTTAATGGCGTTTCGCATTCGAAAAAAAATATTGTAAAAATCGTACTACCAACTACGCCTGATCTAGTGAATCAGATGATGACTGATTATCGACTCTGATTTGAACTGGACTAAGGAAAAAGTTTAAGTCCTAAGTTTAAACTCGGTCATGTTGGATTAAAAGAAGTGGGAACGAAGGATGTTGGATACATTGTATCAATTTAACAGGAACATGTAAACAAGTGTTCTATCTGATGTAAGATGAATTGTTCTAGTTTTTTCTCATTGAGATGCCCATAAAATACAATTTAGGTGGAGCTAAGCCAAAGCCGAGTCTCTGTACATGTAAAATCGTTTAATAATCCTTGACTTAAAAGGTAGTTGCTGTGCATATGTACAGAGCTTACAGGTAGCTTCCTCCTTGTAAACTATAATGAGACGTTGTGACGTGACATTTTTTTACGTTTTAAAGCACACACCTGGTTTTAGGCTCTGTTGTAGGACTTTATCGCAAAAGATTAGTTTGCAAATTGGATAGCGATCTGAATTGCATGTGATTTATAAGAAATATATAGATGACGTATGTTTTAACTCATAAACAGACCGCTGTCTCCATTCTTCTAAGTACGTACTATGCATCTTGAACATTCTTGCCAAAAAATATTTGTTGGCCGAGGTCGAACAGATACAGGATTGCAGACCGTAAATTAAATACTTTTCTAGTTTGCTCATAAAGAATATATTTTTTGGCTTGGAACTTGGGCGAAAATCTGTAAGCTCTTAAGACCCAAATTGGTGTTGTTGCCCAGAGGAAAACTTTAAGATTGTGGCAGAAACGGCCAATTTTAATTGGCTGAAACTTTTGCTGTACTTTTTTTTACATTTGTTCCATTGCTCAACACGAAACTTCATGCTTTGAGTGCATCATTCTCGCCAATGATGATAATTAAAGTACAGAATTGGGAGACGAAATCAACTGTGTCTGAAATTTTATGTAATAATAACCCTGGATGATTGGGCAACACCAAGTAGGACACTCGTCGATCCAACTCGCATTAGCATGCCAGAAGGCTTCGTGACGTAAATTGGAGGTTTCCATTAACATTCGTCCAGAACATCTCTGAAATAAGATATGCTGTGCCTTGGAGTTGTGTGAGTGAATCACACTGAACGCACCCCAACATAATTAGAATGGTAAAATGGGAATACGAGGATAATTTAATGCACAGTCACGAATTGTGGGAGTAAAGGACGAAAGTTTGGACGTCTTGGAAAAATGAAGAGATGATAATGACGTGAGATGGAAGTTATGGTTGACTGTAGTCGGCCGGATGTTGCCTTTGTTTTAATAAAGTTGATGTGGAACTTGAGTTCCCCTCATTTTTGGAACAAACACTCCTTGCTGAAGGTGTCTCAAGTGAAAAATAATACATTTTTAGCATTTATCCAGGGACAAAGATGTGCATATGTGTGATACCACATAATGATGGGTTGATTTAGCCATTTGTGGGTGCCAGAAATCCTTGAGCATAAACACTTCATGCCACGAAGGTGTTATGGTTTTTTTTTCTGGAGAGGCGAGATTGCCAATAATTTTGCAAACTTGAGGAAACTTAAAATTCAAAAAGTTGAAAGTAGTTAGATATAATTGTTCCCGTTGAATGGGCTGGTCGTTCTTTCTCATTGGGTTTGCGTTGGCTGTTGGAAAGATTTTTCACCAAGTTGGGTAGGTCATGACAATCAGAGCGATGGATGCAGCCTATTATGTACGAAGAGTTGTAAATTTAATGGCAAATTGGAAGTGGAAGACAATTTTACGAACACAATGTGCACCACAGTAGAACGAGAGCATAAATAAATTGCAACTGCAGCTCACTTCCGTTGTTTAGTTTTTTGCGTGTATGAATGTGTATGAGCTAGGTTGGGCTATTATTATGTCGTCGCGTCAAACCGCAGTTATGATAACAATAATAATAATCATACTATGAAGCGTACATATTCTCAATGAAATTGACAATAATAACACACCAAAGGCCACACACTATGCGAATATTCATCAAGTTCTAGTTCAAGCTTTTGCTTATAAGCAATTCTGTCACATAAATGTGACAGCATTGCTGCTCTAAAAATTGTTAGCTAACTGTAAATAATTATTTTATTCGCGTCATAAATTTATTCGGAATATGAGAAAACATCACGAACGAAGCAGCAAGGAATTCACGTTCTGTAAAGATGATGAAGTAATGATACACTATGAACATAATAATACGATCTGTATGAAAGGTTTTCTCGGAAGGAACTGGTTGAGCAGAGATCAATTACTTTTTTTATTAGTGCAGGATTCTCAGACCTATGAATTAGGTAAACTTTAGTTTCCCGTAATTTCATTGGCACAGTTTGATTTTCCAATTAACTTTTTTCAGGTTTGTTGTTGTGATTACATGACAAGTGTCAATCAAGTTTACCGTTTGTTTTCATTTAATGTGGTTGTAGCTGATACATAATATGCGAGAAACTAATAATGAGAACTGGTGTAAATGTGATCTATGATTCGTTTCATCTGTCATGAGACCCGACTGACTGGTTTATTGCTGCCGTTTGTTCTCCTCACGATGACGAGGAAACTTGAGCTAATCACCGACTCACAAAATTCATGAAGAGAACATCTCCATCTGCGATAGATAAGGGATAAATCTCTTAAGTACATATACAAGAGTATAGGATAAATAAACCAATGAATTCCTCCTCCAATCCAACCAACCAGAGAGAGTTGAAAAGACGCCTTGTAAATAACTTATTAGATTTACAACGGCAATTTTTCTTTTGATTTGGTTCAACCATAACAATATATGATTCGTATATAGCATCATCTGTGCGGCGGAGAATGATGGGTTTTTATCATGAATGATGAGTGGTTTAATTGTTGCCAACTTATTGATATGGCAAGAAAGGATGCAAAATTGGGCCTCCAATTCCTGCTTTATAATTTACGATTTTATCTGACAAGACAAACTTCGACTATGTTAGAAATTAGGGAATTAATATATGAGGTTCTCTATTTAAAAAAATAAGCCGATTCCAAGTGCTAATTCAGAGATGAATGAAGAAGACTGCTCTTTGCCATTGTTGTTGAACAGTTGTTTGTCTTGTGCTCCTTCTTCTTTGCATCTGATTGATGACACTTGAGTGCAATCAATGACGAAATTGAACACCACTGATCACACTTTTCCTATTCAAGCAGATTATCAATTTTGTCGCTGCAGGGTATCCGATACCTACATGATCATCAGCGTTGTTGAAATCCCTTTTTTGCACTTTACGACTTTGACTGAAAATAATGGTTTCTTTGTTTTTCAATTACAGAGGAGTTTCCTGCTCACGCTGCAAATGTGAATTCCGTGTCATTGGGCCACAAGTCGGGCAGAGTACTCGTTACTGGCGGTGGGGACAAAAAGGTCAACCTATGGGCCGTGGGGAAGCCAAATTGTATTATGGTAAGACTGCATGTGTCCATTCGTTTATGTGTGTGTGTGCTGTGCCGTATTGTAAGTAATTCATGCTCTCAAAGTCTTCTCGTCATCTTTTTTTGTGTTCTGTCGTGTCTGTCTTAACTCATTGCATTTCATTTATAATAATGCACAGCAACCGCAGTAGCACAACCGAGATTTGCAATTTGGTGTTGCAATCTGCTTTTAATTGTCTAGCTACACTGCACTTTATTTAATTGACGAGTAGAGCGAAAACTTTCCTTGATGAATTAAAGTAAAATAGTCCGTTTACAAATTTTGCACCATATTAGAAATACGTGACAGCAACATGAAAGAATAGATTTTCCACTCAACTTGAGTTTTAGATCAGCAACTCCAAGCGATCCAACACTGTTTCAGACATGCACAAAATAGTCTGCATAAAAAGTGCATCTTATTTTTTGTATGCAAAATCCTGCTGCAATCATCCATTTCCTTTTTGGTCTTTTAGTCGAAAAGCGTAAAACATGCGCCAATTGCTGCTGTGTATAGCGAAACAAAAACAAGCGATGACGGTTTAAAAGTCGGCTGATATTTTTGCTGCGTGCAAGAGTACAGTTAATTTAAGTAAGGACGAAGCCTATTTATTTAGGCTTAAAGAAAGTTTAAACAACTCGTCTTATTTATTAAGAGGATTAAAGTGCAAAGGCATTCAGTTAACATAACACAACACTTTATTTGGAAGAGACTGAATACAAATTGTTGCGTTGCATTACATTTTGCATTCAGTAGAAACAAGGGGAACAGAGGATTTCAACAAGTTGAGTTATTTTGTGCTGGTTTGAAAGCCCTCGTTTTGATAATGAATAGATGATGATGATGACAATTCACACTTTTCCGACATGAATAACCCTCGTCTTTCAGGAAAGGCGAAATTAGCAAACCTCCAATAAACGAACCAACAAGAAAAGGTGTCCATGTCACTGACCATTTAAATTATTCAATTGAGCTAATTGGCAATATTTGAGTGTATATAGTGTGTACATACTTGGTTGAGTAGCGTACTGGGTTTTGCTAAAGGTGTGTCCCATGTGTGTCGCATGACTAATCTCGAACACTTTCACGTCTGCGATACATTTTGTCGTCATTAAATTGCCAGAGTTGTATCCCTCCCCGCTAAATAGTAGGAACTCTGATGTTTATTTGATGCGAAATGAGGTATGTTGGCCACATGGTTGATTTGATGGGGAGTTCGCGTGTCGACACATGTTACTCCGCCGACCAAAAGCCTTATGCTGACGAATCCTTACCTAAGCAATTGACCTAGCTCATAGCTGCTGGAGTAATGATTTTCCTTTGTAAGTGCAGTCACTGCCCTAATCCTAAGTGAAAGTACAACTCACTCACTCGCTCGCCTGGGTTGCAGAGGTTTCGACAAAGTACAAAAATGAATGTCGGAATGTATGTTGCAATTATTCATTCATTTTTTGAGTGACTTATTGATCCTCAACCAAATCAGACGTGACTTTATTTTTATATATTTGCACCAATCCTTCTAATCGGTCACATTCACCATCACTTGCAAGTATACACAAGTGTACAATCCACACTCCTGCCAAAAAATGAGGGCTGGGTTCACTCCCTTGCAGTGCGTTGGCGTTGCATGGCGTTGTTTAGTTAGCATGCAGGCACGCATACTTAGCAGAGACCTCATTCGGATGGATTGGGTCATGTCATGTTTTCTGTGATCTGATTTACTAGCCACAGCCAGACCCACCTGAACTTGTAATCGTCCTTCTGACTCTAATTACTCTGTATTCACGCGAATCGAATTTTAATGAAATTCCGCTGCAGTGCTGGGTGGATCTAAACATTTGAATGACAAGTTAATCCAATGATGATTTGAAATCATAGCATCAACGTCGTCGTGTTTCTATTTTATTGCTATCGTATGCCTTTAATAAGTTTCTCCAAATGAGATTTTTATTGAGATTTGAAAGATGTCGAGATAGCCGTTTCAGGGAATGCTCGCTCGCTCTGTCCTCTTTGCAGCATTTCAAATCGAAATAATTCAAATTTCACTGATATCCCCTTCGCTCGTCTCACAATGAAATGCAACCGTTGCTGGCGACGCGATGCTACTGATGACGAAACCCCAATCAGGCTGCATACTGTTTTATACACCTTTCTTGTAATTTTCTCATTCTACGTGAAAAATGTGGTATGAAATTTAGTTCGATATTCAGCTGTCCCAATAAGTTTTAAAGTACAACAAGGATTTATATTACCTATGAAGGTTTCATGACTTGAGCGCATTAGTGAAAGTAGAACAACTATTTAATAACCATGTTTTCAACAGAAAGTATAATGCAGAAGATTGGTAGTAAAAGTGGATTCTTTTGCATGCTTGTTAGATCCGTAAACAAGAAGTAGGATTGAACGGTATCGTTAACAATCAGCTTTTCGCGTAAAAAATGCAATTAGATTTTTTCCATTCGATTAAAATTATTGATTCTTAACTGGTTTCATAAATGACGGAGTTATTGGTCAAGATTATGGTGTGTCTTACGTACAGGGCTGGTTTCCATTCATTCATTCACAGTTTACATTTCATGTGCCTGACATTGTGTGTGTGTGGGTGGTGGGATAACATTTGTCCAATTTATTTTTTACACGTTATTTGCTCATCAATCGACAAGAATACATAATCGATTCATGCGAGCCAGGGTTCGATCGAAGGATACGTACGTATGCAAATATGAATAATATTATATGTGCAATCTTTGCTTGTTGTACGTCTCTCCACTGGTGCCATTCTTTTAAAGATGTCTGCTCTCGAAATGTGTGAGCATAATTATGCATGATATGCTCATTACGGAACTGCCAATGATTGGAAATTGGACATTGATACCTCTTGATTGGATTGATATTGATTTTACTCGTCATCATCATCGCCATGTATCCAATAAGAAGGGGAATGACGACGCAGATGAAGATGTGGGTTGAAACTAATTGGTACGCATTGAGCTATAATAAACAATCGTAATTTGATTAAGGAAAAGGAGAGAGCGAATAACTTTGCAGAAAGAATCTGTCAATGGCACGTCAATTATTGTGCCGTTACATTTGTGTGGGAAGAGGAGACAGAAATGAATACTTTTTTAAAATAAAATCATTATTATTCCCATTCCAAATCATTATTATTGCAGCTCTTTCTTCATAGTCCGTCCTCCGTGATTGATTGTAGATTTGTTTTGGCTGTGATTTTGTTTTGTTTTGCGGTTTTAGAAAAGCGAGAAAATTGGCATAGATAAATAATTGCGGAATTCATAAATAAAATGTCTGGCAATTTTAGAAATGAGAAAATGAAATGACAAACAGTTTTATTCTTATTTGAAAGAAACAATAATAAATATCATCATTTTCTTCACGGACGACGATGCTACGCGTAGTAAAAAAAATACTCCGCTACTGTTGCATTTGGCAATAAAATGTACACGAAATTGGATAGGAATAGTGTACATAGTGGGAATAATATCGTTGAAATGAGATCGAGGGCGACTCGCTGACTTTGAATTTCAGTTTTACGCGACATTATAAAAATCTGCCGCAGTTTGTAAACTTTTGTTATCAGTGGTTGTCCTTCCTTCAGATTCCTTTGAGACTGATGCGTTGATTTCTTCTTTTTATTCTGCTACAACAATTTCTTTGGTTTTTCGACGACGACGACGACGAGGAATCCGTCTTTGTCATCCTCTTTCAACTCCTTTGTCAATGTTCGCTCGCGGTGCAATGAAATCAGATCAAATTGGATTTTCACTTCTGTGCTCATCCTCCTCTCTCTCCGTCTCTGTTGCTTATTTGCAGTCGCCTTTGTCCTGCCTAAATCTCTTCTCCCCTTCTTTTTATTAATTCATTTTATAATCAAAATTGGTCAGAATTAACAGCGTTAAGATTGAGGAAATCATAAATTACAGAAACATGGTGGTAAGGGATATCCACGCCATATAGCATTCGATCTGTTTGCGAATGATAATAATTCCATTATGTGATGGGAAGCTTTCTGTCACGTGTTTCATGATGTTCTTTGATTTATGGTCCATGAAAACCCAATTTTTCATGCAAGATCGTCATCGCACCTTCAAGTTTTTTACTCACTTCTGTTTGTAATGTCCCATGCGTTATTCATTCGGAACACTGTAGAACTATATTGATATCAAGGGAGCTAATAAGACGGCGAAGGTGGCACATAGCATAAGGATTATTAGGCTTGAAATTGAAATATCTTTGCTGCAGAGTAATATTTAGCATGCCAACGAAATATGTACAATACTGTGAAGAATGGATTAAGATTGCATGAAAATACTCTTCGCTAAAACGAAGGGCAAGATCAACTGACCAAGCACGAGTAATAGTTTTAGACATGCCTTCCATTAGCCTCTGTCCACTAGGAGTCCGTTTTTATGCCAAGCTGCTACTAGCAAAAATGGCATAGCAAATTTTCTTTACTTTTCCTCCACTCCCATCCATGTCTACCCAATGTGGGTGGGCTTGTTTAGTAGACTAGGTATAATTCCCGACTGCTTGTCGTGCAGAGGAGGAAAATACTACACTCTTAACAAATTAGCAAAATTAAACAAAATTCGCAAATATAATTTTACTTGGTGCTACGACATGTGCGACCTACGCTTTACACGGAAATACGTATTTTCCTTCATCTAGTAGTAGAAAATATAGTCGGGAACGATACCCAGGTATTTATGTAGTGAAGGGAAGCTAGACAATTTATTTTGTAATAAATCTGTCCCATTACAGCCCAGCTACTTCTGTATGTGTCACTTCTACCTGAAACTATAGCTTTGTTGACTTTCATGCCTCTTTATTAAGTAAACAATCTGCCATCCAGATCTCTAAAGTGCAAATATTCTCCCACACATCGAGGACAATCTTTAGAACTTTTTTGCAGCATACGATACGAGTTGTCAGTTACAATGTTAACCTTAGTAGTGTAAGTACCGTTTAGTGGATTTTTGCAGACATGTCCTGTATAGTCCCTTCTGGATGAATTGTAGAAATTTATCGATACTTTTGCATAGATAACGTTAAAAAAATGAGAAAATATGTTATACAGGTAACCCTGATTTGATTATTGATTGTATTGTACTATGCATTCACGATCAATGGTCAGTCAGAAGGTCACTCATGCGTAGCTATTCTTATGCATATGCAAGCATCGTAATGCTTTTAAGAAATTTATTATGACAAAAAATCCATTGTTTGAAGTGATCATTTGTATTAAGAAGCATCGGACTGATTGATTGATGGATGAATTGAGCACACGTCGTGACAGATCACACTGTGGAAATTTATTCATGCACACATCTTTTTCTGCTTTATTAACAATGAATTATATTTATTACTGCTATAATTTCCGCGTGTACTGTACTAAACAATTGCAAGAATAGAGATGCATTGAGTTTTTTGTGACGTAGTGGTCAAAGCTGAACCTCACTTTTGTTTTATTTTTGCAGTCCTTGAGCGGCCACTCGACCCCTGTGGACTGTGTTCGGTTCTCCATAACGGAGGAACAAGTATGGCGATATTGTTTCAAATTTGTTAAGTTGCTACACATTTAGAACTTTACATTATACATTTACGAATTTCAGGTATGCGCTGGATCTGCAGCTGGAGCGTTGAAAATATGGGATTTAGAGTCCGCAAAGATGCTCCGAACCTTGACAGGTCATCGAGCCTCCATTCGATGCGTCGATTTCCATCCCTACGGGGACTTTCTTGCTTCCGGGTCGTCCGACAGTGGGATTAAAGTAAATATATATTAACCTTTATGACATTTCATGATTGGTTGACTACAATTATCGGTAATGGTGATATTTTTCCAACAGCTATGGGATATTCGAAAAAAGGGTTGCATCTTTGGGTACAAAGGTCATAATGGAACCGTTAACAGCCTCAAATTCAGCCCGGATGGACAATGGATTGCATCGGGAGGAGATGATAACTTTGTTAAGGTGAGCTGATGTAGATATGAGTATGAATTTGTGCATGCATAATGAGCGAAATAAGCATCCCAGCTTTGCAGACAATATTATTATTATTATACATACTATTGTTGTTAAAATTGTCCTCCCACGCGCATATCAAATTATTCTAACACAATTTGCACTTAATTGTTCCGTTGAGCTACCCAATAATAATTATAATCAGTCAAAGTGAAGCGAAGATGCTACATCAATTTTTTGCATACGTTTCCATCCCTGTCTGCAGCAAACCATTCTCTAAACATGATTGTGAAGGTCGCGTTGTCATATTTGGACAGTCTCAATCTATTACACAACTTGGGGCGGATTAGTTTCTGTGTCTTGTAACTTTTTTGGTTAATAAGTGATTGTCGTTAATTACAATGTATGTATTACTACTGCTACATACATACTCTTCTCGTCATGTCGTGTTTTTCTAAATTCAGAAAAGGTAACTTTACATCATTCAGCATTTTTCGTTATTTACTTGCAAACTTGAGTCCTCCCAATTGAATACTTTATTGTGTAGATCTATCGTCGTGTGGGTTGGTTGGGTAGCTCTGACAAATTCGCAGCCACGTTTTTCATTCAGCGTTTCTTCTAGGAAAACTCTTTTCGCAATTCCACCACCCACCCACACGCCTTATTTATTTGCTGGTTTGAACAATACTGTATGAATGCGACACTTTGTGTATTCATCGTTCAAGTATTTAAAATATGTAATTTGCAGGTGTGGGACATTCGAGTCGGAAAAGTGTTGACTGAGTTTTCCCACCACGGACCTGTCACCGATGTCGAATTTCATCCTCACGAATTCCTCCTCGCATCCGGGAGTATGGATCGCACCGTCAAGTTCTGGGAGTTGGAGACGTTTTCCTTGATATCGTCAAGTATACCTGATGTGCCTCCTGTGAGGTTAGTGTTGCTAGATGCGTAATTTACACCTATGTAATTAAAAGGCCTTGTTATTGCTCATCAACATTATTTGCTCGTGCTGAGGTTTTGTGATTTTTATGTAGATGCATCACATTCCATCCGAGTGGAGCCTGTTTGTTCTCTGCTTCTTCAGAATGCCTTCGTGTTCATGGATGGGAGCCCCCAGAGACTCACGACTCTGTCTCTACGACGTAAGCAATATGTTTTGAAAATACAAGGGATATGTTTATCCGCACATTTTTCTCTTCTGCTCAAGTCTTCTCGACGGAAGAATGCTCCTTTTCTCGTAAACAATCCATTCCTTGTTTTATTTGGCATTGTTTTTGATTTCAGGTGGGCAAAAATTCAAGATATCGCAATATCTCATGAACAGTTGGTAAGTTTGTAATTTATTATTATGATTATTACGTTAAACAATGTAATTGTGTTAAGATAAACAAGGCCAATTGTACTAAAATTATCCTGTTATTTCTGTAGGTTGGAGTGACAATGTCGATGACCAATGTTTCAATTTTTGTGGTTGATCTCAAACGCATTTCTCCCATAGGAAATAATTCAAAACAGATGAGAACAACTCTTCATTCTGCCGGGCATACGTCGTTAAGGAAAAATTTCAGCACGGAACGGTCCAGTGAATTTGCAGAGTCATTGTAAGTGCCTAATCTCTGTATTAGGGCATTGATGTTGGTGTTGCTCTTGAATCATATTGTATTTGCCTTGTTAACGATGTGCTGAGTCAGGATGATTTTTCCTATATCTGCAGACATGCCATGAAAGCTAGTGAAGACTCTGATAGTTTACCAACTGATCCAGAAGACGACAATATTTCGTATGTCGGGACCAACTTTAAGGAAGCATTTCGCCCACATCGAGATTGTAAGGAGTTCGTCGTTACTACTTTGTGCAATGTGCATTATTGTCCCCGACAGTTGCATAAATTTAAAGATGTTTATGTATTGCTAATTTTTACAGTGGCAAGGACTCCTCCTCCTGAGGAATTTTACCCACCTCCAGATGACGGTATGCAAAGTACTATTAATAATATTAGTAATAGTAATAGTATGTATTTATGAAAATTGTATATTATTCAACAGAACCTTCTATATCTACGTCAATTGAATCGGTTTCTCCAGGTTGTGGAAGAAACAACTCAAAGTTTCGCTATGTTACAAATAGAAATCATTCCAAAGTCCGGGTCGCAGACACATCTCCGCGCAGGGCCAGCGTCCCAAATTTTGTGCCTGGACAACCAACTCAAAACAATCATCTCAATGCAAATGTTGGGCTCAGTGCAAGAAGTCGAAGTCCAGAATACCTCTCGAGCAGGCAAAGTTCATTGTCTGATGATTCAGGGCCATACTCCGGACGAAGTACTGACACCAACAAGTCCTCTTGTGCCGAATCGTTATACTCGCAAAACGTCCCAAAGTATGTTTATCATGTTGTGCAGCGATGTGCATTTAAAAAAGTTTAAACGGGTAATAATATTAATTATGATGTATTGCATAGTACAATAAAACGAGAGCCGATGAAGACCAGCCAGTCCGAGTCATGTCTTCAGCTGCCATCGCCAGGCGAACTCACTCACCAACCCTCTCTGCCTCAGATTCGTGATAAATCTACTCCCCAACAGAGCTACTCCCAGCAGGCACCCTTGCCACCTTTACAACCCTTGCTTCGAAGTCCGGACAAACCACTTGCTCAGTGTCAAGTAAAACCAATGCCAAAGGTTTCTCCGCGAGATGTAGGGATCAGTAACGACTATGAAAAGAAGACTGACTTCTCCAATGCTCAAATCGATGATTTTGTGCCAACTCCATCAGGAGTTGGTCCTGTTGGACTTGCAATCGATGACTTCCTCCCCGTAATACTCAGTTTTTTTTAAATAAACAAACAAATTATGTAGTAATTGTTTATATGTATATGCAATTGTTTAACCCATTTCATGTTTTTGTTATTAGAAAGCTTCCATGACCATGAAAGGAGGTGTCGCGTACCCTGAATTAAACGAGACCGAAACGTTTACAAACCTTGCCCAAGGCCACCAGTCTTTCCTTGCAGTGCTAATCAGCAGGCAGCGAAACCTTCGAATTGTCTACAATGTTTGGCAGACTAAAGACGTTAAGGTATGACGGCGCTGTATATGCTGGCATTTATGCGAGGCTCTGATTTATGCGTCTGAAGATGAGACCCCTTAGCTTTCAGATTAGTTGTTGTTTCTCCATTATGTCACATAATTACTTTTTCGTTAGCTTCATAAATTACTGTCCATTTTCTTGATAAGAGTTGTAATTTGTGTTTTAAATTTCTAGGCGGCAGTGGACACGGCAATGGGTCTTAATGATCAGTTCGTTCTCGTTGATGTGTTGACCGTGTTGACTCAGCGCCCGTAAGTGTCACCAATCTTAATTTTTACTGAAGTGGCTTTTGAGTTTTGACATAAACTTTGAAGCAAGGTGTTGGAAAAAAGAGTAGTAAAACACCAAATTAGGGGTTTTATGATTCCACGCTGGAACGACAGACAACTAATTCCTATTTGGAGCGCAGGATTATTGCACTGTTTACAAAATCACATCTAAATACCCTCATTTCATCTTTTGAGATCCATCTAAATCCAACTGTGTGATTTACAGTCAGTCGTATTTTATGATACCTAAGCACATATCTTATTGTTGATCTCTGTCTACGCACGGAGTGTCCAGTACACCGCAGTCAAAGACAGGAGCTTTCACGACTTGGTCCTTTTTGCCCTTCGTGTCTCATTTTGTGGCATCATAAATGATTTCATTCTTGAGAACGAAGTCGTTCCTTCGTTGTTTTCACTTTGATTAGTTAAGTGTAGTACCAATCGTAAAAAAAAGTAGTGAATGAGAGGAGTCTGAACTTGAGTAGTTCACTAAGACTGGCTCATAATTGTTGTTTAAACTTTTTTGTTGTGAAGAGGGCTTGTTGTTGAACACAGGGCTACTGAATATTGGACAGGGTTGTTGAAACTAAGGGTACTAGCAGTACGGCAGTACTGGAAATGAAATTGCTTTTCGAAGGTGGAGGCAACAACAATCAGTAGCTGCAACGATTTACCTCTTTTTATGAGAAAAGTATGTTTGTTTGTGCGACTTAAACGACAAGAGAACCTCCTCACCACCTGCAAAGATACACTTACAGGAGACCTCAGTGATGTATAAATATAGGTAGCAGCAGATGCAGTCATCAAACAAGCAATACCCAACCAAACTCTATAAAATCATACGAGACAAGACAGAAAATAATAATACAATCTTTGCTGACCGATTATGAATGTTGTGTTTTCTTACTCACTTGCTCTTGCCTTGGTATGATTTCCTATCAATTGTCATGAAGCCGACAAACCACAGCGTCAATTTAAAAGAATCATTATGCACAACTAATGAATTTTCCCATGTTTTCTCTTACAGAGCAATGTGGAATCTTGATCTTTGTGTGGCCGTACTCCCGTGTGTGTCTCAACTCATCCAGTCCAAGTTTGAATCGTAAGTATCTTTACAGTGTCTGGTTGTACTGGTTTGTAAACTTACATATATTTGCAATCATATCATTTCGGTCAGAATCCAAAGCAGTTTCGCATAGTAAATAGACATGCATTTACAGAATATGTAATGTCGGGACGAAACTCTCACAAGTGAGCAGTTTGTTTATTTATTTGTCTCACGATAAGTTGGGCCACCCCTTCTTAAACTTTTTTTCTCAATCGTGTTGCTGTTGCAAGTCATAAATTGATGAAAGGGTTCCGATCCTCCCTCTGAAATTAAGAAGCCGTTGTCAGCAGTTGGATAAAATTGGAAAGTGCTCGTCGGGGTAATTACTTGTTAATTTTACAACTTCCGCTTATCCTCTGGGCCAGTTGCATGGTGGTCATAACACACGGGTTCCTTTTCCCTTCGGCACATCATAAGCCGTAGAATGACTTCATTTTGTCTGGGTGCATTGCTGTGATGAAATGAAATACGTTTTCATTTTATCTATGCGTTATCAATAATGGTCTTTAATTAGGTTTCTCTCATCAAACACATACACGTTTCTGTGTCAAATTGTTGATCCAGATTCAACAAAAGTACGCGAAAGACGATATGATTTATTCTCTCAAATTTAGAAAAAAACGTATCGCACATATGACAGGAGAGAAAGGGGAGGGCTGCGTCGTCCTTATAAATTTGTTCGTTTCTTAAGCGGTTTGTAATACTGATGTTTGAAATATACCAATTTTGGTTGGATCGTATGTTGTGTTTCATGTTTATTCTTTTTGGTTGGATTTCCACTATTTCACAAAGGGTGGATGCAATGTTGCCCGTCCCATTTCCTGCTAGATTAACATAATTCACTCCTGAACAATTAGTTTGTCCTTTGTTTTTTTACAAATTAACTCTTCTCGTGCAAACTATTTCCTGCCCGTCCCCTTGAGCAAACATATCAGACAGGCCAACCCATCCAACGAAAAATTGGTGTAGTACGCCAACATGGTTTGTGCACATGTCTGTATGTAAGAAAGTGAACAGTTAAACAGTTGAATGAATTGTGAATTTGCATCTAGTTCCGTTTGGAAAATATTAGCTGGTGGATAATGAGGAATGGCGTGGATTTACTTAGAAAACTAGGTCTATTCGGCCATTTTGCAATTGTCCCACACATAAATAAATTTGAGGACTCTATTTCATACAGCACTGGACTTTTGACGATGGGAGAGCAGAGCTTTATTTATGAGCGTCCTCTGAGGACGAGGAAAATAATAATGGCGATGCGCCCCTTCGGTTATCTCGTGTATTGATCTCGTTAGCATTGAATGTCATTGGGCTGAGTGCAGGGTCTGAAAAAGGAAGGCCGCCCACATTGTCGGATCACCCAAAATAAGCGTGTATGCCCAACCCTTCTTGTCAATCAACCCGTTTATCTAATTACTCCATCTGGAAATGTGAGCCTCTGTTCCTTCACTCATCGCTAACTCCTCTGAATGAATCAGAATTAAGCAGTTGCATGGCAGTTGTCTCGTTCCCAGCTAACAGAAGCTAACCAGGGTTACCAAGGAACGAAGGGTACCTACCCACCAGCAGCAGCAGTATCCCATTACGTAGCGTCTATTCTGCATTCATAGTCTTATTATGTTGTTTGTGTTGTATCTGATTTTTGGATCAATATAGTTGTCGAGTGCTTTGCCTATGTAATCTCCTGCTAGTCCTTCATTTTTATTATTTTCTTTCATTCCGAGTTTGAGTGGGGTTCACAAAACAGAGGAGGAAGGGACCATGATGAATAATAGTTGGGAGCAGAGAACCGGTGGTGATATACCTTCTGCATGGTGGGCTTCATTATGATTCAAATTCTGAGTCACATCTCATTTTTATGTGCCTCGTTTGGAAATGTTTTGAATTTTATTCAACCCAAGTCGGAAAATCCATTCGTATTAAATTTGATTCAAGGGCAAAAAATGCTAAGACATGAATGGTTGATAAAAATTATAGAAAACGGGAGAATATTTATTTCATTTGTCAGTAAGTAGCCCGAAGGGTTTGCCAGAATGTACTTCTGCATATTATCTTAAACAGACTAATCAAGAGCTGTTGTTTTAATTCTGATAATGTGAAACCAAGCTATGCAAAGAGGGTATGGATGATGGTAAAGTACCCAAAAAAGCATGGCCAGATTTCCTCCAGGTTTGGCCATACACATTGCACCTCTTGCTCGCTTAGCTAGAATTATGGGATGGAATTTTACGCTGACCTGATTCATTTGGCCTGCTCAATGATTCACGAGGGGCATAATCAGCTTTGACTACTTTATCAGAGATCAAAGTTGTTTACTTTAATTGCTTAATTTTTAAGAAGCTCAAGTGCTCAAGGCACAATGACATCATGAAAAGAATAAATTATGCATTCAAATGTTTACTTAAAATTCTGAAATATTTATATTGAATACAATACGTTTTCTTATCCATGAAGACTATGCATTGTGTCAAATTCGCTTCTTATGTTCAACAAATCTACTGGGTAAGTAACAAAATGTTTCTATTTGTTGCAGGAGCATCGTCGCAGGATTGTCCGTGCTGAGATTAATTTTGAAGAATTTTGGGAATGTGATCAAGGCCAACATTGATGGCCCCATCCAAACCGTGGGCGTGGACATTTCGCGGGAAGAGAGGTAAAATACGTTCATCTTATTTATTTCTGATCGTTTTCTCTAATGTAGAGCATGTACGTCTTCGTATGTCATTGGAGACAACCTCCTGTGTACCAAGTGCATAATAATAATTATTGTTTACACCGGAAAATGTGGTTTCACAGTATTTTAGCGAATCACGATTTTCTTCTGTTTCTGGGAATGAGTCCACTTTATGAGAAAAATATTGCATGATGCACCTTTCTTTCTTTCCTTCTTGCTTGCTTTCTGGTTTTGAGGGAAACGGGGAGGATCAAGAACGATAATTGGGAAATGCGAGTGTGATCACCCGAATGGAATAGGATTTTGGGTGATCTATCCTTGACGCATTGATTGGCGCATGATGGTGTGTGTTATCATCATGTTGTGTTGTCGCCGGTCGGCATCTTCACCAGGGTGCTCACCCAAGCCCAAAATTTGTTAAACTGAAATTGCTGATCACGATCATAATTTTGCTTCTCCTTCCTGGGTTCCTCGAGAAAATTAAGAATGACACGAACTAGCGAGGAAATGACCGAAACACCCAAAAATAATGTTACAAAAGCAGTAAAAGCTTATTTGGATGGTCCCCATAATTATTTTCTAAGCTGTCCCCATTTTCATCATTGGCGGCCCATCTTTTGTGCATTTGAGTAAAAGGTAGATAGCAAAGTGTTTCGGAATTAGCCTTTTAAGTTTTACTTCCATTTTGAGACTGATCTCTGGTGTCCGTCCTTTGTGCGGCGTAAAAAAGTATTGATGGAATTGTGTGAGTAATTGGGTGGTGAAGGGTCCTCTAGCAGCGTTTACAAATACAGTATGCCATGAATGCTAAAAAACGGTGAATGATACGTCGTCGTTCTCAATTTCCTAAGTAGATGTTGGTTATGTAGTCTAATCCCCTCTTGGTCTCAAGTCTCCCACGCTACTCTACTCAACTCATCCGATTTCCATTCTAGCACAGCACCCTCACAATGGATAATCTTTGGATGATACTTCCAAGACGATGTTCCAATGATGATGTAACGGAGCCTGTTTACTTTCCACCACTCTGATCCTCTTAATAATAATGTACTTGCTTACTTTGCCCATCTCCATTGTGTCCATGCACAAGTATATGAGGACGAACGGGAACAAGGGATTTGTGATTTATATATATTCCTCTCACTAAAAAAGGAGCCAGCTTGTAGTTCGAATGTGTTCACGGGTTCATTCATGAATATTGCTGAACTCATTTTGTTGGGCGGTGGTGGGAGTTTCTTGGTGTTGTTACATAACATGGCATTACGTTGCACTGTACAATGAAGCACTTTAGAGAGGTCCAAAGCGGATTATGTGAATGGAGACTCGTTATTGTTGTTACTCTTGTTGTGAGTGCATGCAAACATACTTTTCCTTGCGTACTTAGTCCCCGAGTTAAGACTTTTTTCTTCTTCTTTTACAAGAATGACAGAGTGGATAATGGAGATGATCATGCTACTAATGAACTCACGGATCTCTTTCTATCCAGTCTTGGACACGTTGCTCTAATAAATTGGATAATTTATTTCCTAATTCACTCAATTTTTTTTCACTTCAGGTACAACAAGAGCATGGAGTGCTACCGACAACTGGTAAGCAGCATACACATATTTACACGAGTTCAATTTCTGATGGTATGAAATCTCAGGTCACCATTCGAGCTTTCACATTGAAACGTCAGACAGTCCCAGGAAAAATCGGCCACACATTCCGCGAGCTGCACATCCTCCTCGGAACGCTGGATTGATGATACGTCCCACACTACTAAATTCAAATTAGGATCTAGTTAGATGGACTACTTACATAATTCAAACTCATTTTTAACGCTCCACCCAAAGGCAAATCCAGTTATCAAAGTTGGATATCAGGTGCTGCACCAACTACTTTGCATGTTGAAACCATACGCATGTTACTAAACCCTCGACCAAGACCAAGTTTTTACTTGTAGCTATTTTATGATAAGTCTGTCAATGTTTATTAAGTTGTGTGTAATAAGCTAGGTCTTTGCACTCTGCATAAATCAGTCAATGTTGTATACATATGAATGACGATCATAATTTCTACATTTTCGTCCCTCCACATATCTGTTCTGAATTATCAGAGGTTAATTAACGGAAATGTTGTAATCTAATTTTCCAACTGCGACACAGGCAGAGAGAAGAGTCAACGTATTAATTACTTATCTTGGTGGCTAATTAGTGCAAGAGGGCAGAATGTTGTGGTTTCATAATAGTCAGACCAGTCAACCAATTATCCGTCCAACTTCGTATCATTAGCGAAGTATGTAGAAACTATAAATGACAAATATAATTCCAGTTACTGTTTGTGCAGTGAGGAAAGATTTTGTGGATATATTTTGAGCAAAATTTTAACACCGTCGTAGTTTGCGGTATGCGCATTCTATAAGTGCAGTCAGGAAGCAATACAATATTTTGAAACTTTTTAAATACAAATTTACAAAAAATACCAGGCAAGCACCCGATTCTGTTGTAAATCAGACTAAAATATTTTAAATAACAGTTAACCAATAACGTGATCTTAACCAACTCGTGTCGATGATGTGACTCTAATGAGTAATCCTTAATTAAGTATAAACCTGCCACAACGTTGTATATATTTTATTTTAGTAGACTGAATTGTGAGACAAAAAAAGAACACTAATTTTAATTAACACCGAACAAATAATGTCGTGGTACAAATATCCATCAGTGCGCTGTAAAGTCAATAATTTTGTGTGCATGTTTTAAAGCATTAATCACTGAAGGCAACCTTTTTTGTCTGCTGATACCTAAACATAATTGACTTTGAGTTTCACTACTCCTAACTGATCTCACTAATGGTTCACTTCTACCTTGCTTTTAACATGTAAGTTATTAACTTTCACCTGATCCCACCCCTTGGAAAATAAATGTGTAATGTTCATCGAAATCTTATGTTTATTAAACACCTACGTAAGCATGGTCTAAATGCAACTTGCCCATTTTAATTTGTCAACTATTTTAATTACACGTACTGATTAGTATTAACCTGTATTTATTATTGAAGACTTTGTCAGCTAACAAGCGGAGAGAGATGAAGTTTTCAACGTGATAATTTGAGTACTAACTAAAATTATTAACACCACTTATTTAGTCGGTCGACAAATATAATATGCCTGTTACTTACACAAAGTAATGTTGATCGCCTCTTGGAATTACTAGATGAAAAGAATTTATCAAACTAATCAATAATACGATGTTAGTGATGAGACGTATAATCTAAAGTTTGTGAATAAAGAGATTTTTGTACTCAAATCACAATAATTTAATTACTGGTTTTCGCCGTAAATCTGAATACATACTTTCCCATGAATTTTGTTTTTTAGGGAAACTGTGTGACCTAGAAGATCAGCAGTGTGGTATCTTTCTCCTCCTGTCACCAGAAATCCTTATGGATGAGCTTCCAAAAATTGATAAAAAAGGCATGAAATTGCAAGTAATTCGTAAAGTAAACGGAAGAAGTCAAACCCTTTGAAATGGGGCACACGTCTTCATGACACATCCGAATGGATGGCTTTTACCCGATCGAAATATTCACAGAGGGAGAGAGCGCAACGATACAATACTTTTTACGGGAACTAGTCTTGGGTAGAAATAAGTGAATTTTTCTCACCACTCTGCACTCAAATACCCCAAAAAATTCCCCCATTCACTGCACATCATCCCTTTAAAAAGTTGTATTAGTTTTCATCAATCAGAGGAAAACAGAGCAGGCCCCTTGCTTCTTATGTGGATCTCGTCCGTCAGTGGATGCGGGTTGAATTCGGCTGCATGAGTAGAAATAGGGAGAGATCGGAGAGCGAGAGACCCCCCTCGGGACGACTGAGTTGGACAAGTTTAATAATGAGAGGATTAAAGAGCTCCCGTAGCTAAAAAATAAACCTTCGTCGGGGGTAATCATTTGTGTAGTGACGATCTCCACGCATTGTGTCAATCACAGCAGCGGAACAAGAGCTCGAGCCTTCAAAGGTTCCTTGATTTCCTGTCCCGAAGACTCTTGGGGAGAGTGCCCGGGTAGTCCACACCTTCCAACTACAACATCACCATTCTTCTCGTGGACAATCAGATCTCTCAGATACAAACTCGTCGTTCTTAATTCATAATCTAAGGTTTCTACGCTTTCGTCACTTCCTTAAAATTTTTGCTGGGTGGGATTGGCAAACCCCAAATTCTAACTCCAAATTCTCAACTAAATAAATCTGATACCCCCATTTTTTAGCCCGAACCAGGGCTTATGTAATTGTCATGTCCGTCCGTCTGTCCGTCCGTCTGTCCGTCCGTCTGTCTTTCGATAACTCTCGAACGAGTTGACCGATTTGGACCAAATTTGGTACAGGCATGTATCTGGGCAATGCAACGACCGAGTTCGAAGATGGGTTCGATCAGAAAAGTTTTGGACCGGTGGGGGTCATCGGAGTAGGTGGGGTATTACGCACCAAAATTTCAAAATTGTCGTAGAAAGCTGAAATTTAGCACAGAGGTTGCTAATGGCTCCTAATAGATAAAAACAAGTTCAAGTTAGAAAAATTTTCATCTTGAGGAACCCTAGGGGGTGACCCATACGGATTTTTAAAAATCATCATATCGAACTGAAATTTGGTGGAGAGTTTGCTTGTGGGTCCTAATGGAAGAATATGACATGAAATTGGTAAAATTTTTATCTAGAGCGACACTATGGGGTGACCCATATCGATTTTTAGAAATTAACATAGAAAGCTGAAATTTGGCCCAGAGATCCTTACTGCTTTCTCGTGAAATAATATGAAGTTAAATATACTGAGAAACATGGGTTTACTAATCCTGGTTCGGGCTAAGCAAAGCTGTACTGATAGGTTTTAGGATACAAATTTTGGGGGATCAAAGCTTGATTGACACAAATGATGTGAGACACGTTTTAATTGGAGCTGAATCCAAGCTCGAGTCGATCTCACGGGAAATTATTCATACGAGACAGCAGCAGCAGCCTCTGAATCCTGCACACCAGCCGGGCTGACCTTTTCATTCGTTATTGTTGTTCGTCGGGGATGAATACAAAAGATGAGCTTGGTGAAGGCTGAGCATAAGAGTCGACCCCATGAAAGAGTAGGCACACATATAGCAGAGAGAGCATAAGCCAAGGGATAAGCTCGAGGATCAAACTGTCACATTAGGCTCCCCATTAAATGTGACGAGTCAATCCAGCTCCACTGTCCATATCATTCCACATACACACTTGTATCCAAAATGGGGTTGCTTCCTCATAATCCGGTGTAATTGATATTTGACTCTTCACAATCAAGTCACCAGTCCGTGCTTCCAGGATGAATAAATTCGGTGACTGGGTACCCTTCACAAGAATTGCATAAATATCAATGCAGAACACAAGCATGTATGAAAACCTATGGTTTGGGATGGATGAGAGGTGCGACCCTCTTCAACCCGTATCAATTGCCCATTCAACTGCTCCAGTAATGAAGGACGTTTTTGCTTTCACTAATAAATATCGGAAATATGACCTTTCAAATTTTATAAGTGGCTCGGGCTGTAGCAAGCCTAGTTTTTGTAGCAAATTCATGGAATTTATAAATGCCCGTCGCAGTCTCCAACTTAATCGAGCCACCACTGTCCAGCAGTTATTCCAGTCGAGAAAGTCATGGAATTTTGACCGAGTGTGAAGAAAGGAGTTCAAGAATTTATGAATGGAGCGTGGTCACTCCTCCACAACCAGAACTGGAAGTAACATATCGATTCAAAAATGTTTGGTTTCGGTCATCCTCCCATCTTGGCCACCAGCTCATCGACACTCCATGCATGCACTAATTTAAGGTTGGTATGTACATAGTTTTCAAATTTTCTCACACTTTTTGGTGAAAGAGTGGCTGAAAAGGTTTGAGGTGGGAGGGCACAAGACTCGAGTGAATGTGTTGAATGTTCCTCTTCTTGTGGTCATTTGTCACCCGATGGAACTTATCCTTGTTGGTCAGGAGAGTCCACCCACCCAGCTCCTTTTGTCACCCACACAAACACTGCTCATTTTTATTCCCTTTGCATCCTACACGACCATGACTTGCTGCACTATGATTTCCAGAATCCTGTACAAATGACGACTCGAGTGTGAATCAATTCTTTCTGGAAAATCCATATTTGTTCAAACATTTATCGCTCTTTTGACACGATGTGAAAGCGTTGTGATAATGTCTTCATTGAAGAAGATAAATAAATAAATGAAGAGCTGGAATCTCTCCGAATGCTGCTGGCCCACTTGGCCCTCTACTAATATTTTGGGTCCCATTGTGCAATCCAACATCATCGCCATTGTTGATGGAATGGAAAAGGTCCGAATTGTCCAGAATTCACTCAACTCTCGACACCCATTTTTGAATGAATGTTTCCAGTGAAGTTTCCAGTGAAGTCATTCCACATTGTTGAGCTGGTAGAGACATATTTAGAAGTAAGCATGTATGTATTCATTTATAAGCAGTTGCCCCCAGGTTGGGTTGCACTTTCTGCCATTGTTCGAGAGAGAGAAGTGTTGATGTTGATATCACAATTTACACTTTGATAAATACAACTTGCCCAATAATGGAATGGCTTCGGAATGGATGAGAAGCCCTCGCTCGTTCAGAGTGAGTGAGCCCTGTGCGACAATTGCAGTGGAGCAGAAAGCTGGCTTGTTCTCCTGGACAGCCCTTCGCACAACATAAATCATTTCATAAATGGTCCTTTTTATAGCTCTCTCATATCCAATGACATCAAATCCAACGATGTTCAGGCGAGATCGAGTTGGAGGAATCAGATGCACCAAGTGATAGGTGCGCACATTGGAAAGTTGGATCAGTATCATCAAACCCTTTTCCCCTCATCAAAACGGCTCTATTCTCCAATTAACATGAAATAGTCGTTTAGGCCACGACCAAAGCCAAACTGAAATAAAATTAAACAATTTAATCCGCATTTTGGATGACTTGCGGAAAATTTTCGGTCATAAAATCCTCATTTTATGGAATTAAAAAACAAGCGGGTAAAAAATAAAACTCGAGTCAGCAGATTAATGAAACATTGGGTTCCCTTGCTAATAAGTAGCTCACAAACTTTGGTAATCATTAGCAGCCTATGTAGAAGTATAAGTCTGAGCTAATAACTTTACGACGGGGAGGACAAGAACCTGGTCGTTCGTCGTCGTCGCAGGTGTCGCACGAGAAGTGTCGTGTTATTAGTGACGTGATAAATTGCAGTTGAGAGTCAACCCTCCTCCTCCTCCAGAGACTGAAAAGCATTTTGTGAGATTCACACTTTTCTCGTCCCCGTGTTCACGAGATGATTTGATATGACGTGATATAAAATAAATGATCCCCTTTTGGCACAACCCGTCATTAAATATCTAAACTAGCATCGCATCCAGCACAGCCAACGCTCAACCCTTTCGCCCCCTCTCACTCATAAATACACTCATTTCTCAACTAAACACTGTTTGCTTTTGATTACAAACATTTGAATCAATATTGAAGGCTGAGTTCTGCAGGAAATGTATGATGGATACTGAAATACGCAGCAGCAGTCGTGGTATGCACCGGGTGCGTTTTATTGCTTATTGAGAAAGCCAGCCTTCCTTTAATCACTTCATTCCTTCGTCGTCGGACTGGGTAAGAAATTGAGGATGTGAAATATGAGGAGGAAAATTCGTTCAATTTTTGTAAGGACTTCACAATGCTACATAATTGGTCTAATCAAGCTGGGGCCCAATAATGGATCGCTCACTCCTCCCACACTTGATGAAGAAAGAGTGGAACGGGAAATACATATTGCGAGAATATTTAATAAGCTTTTAATTTCAGGGTTTCAACTTCACCACTTTCACAAAGGAGCGATAAACATAAACTCACGAATAATATGTGAGTGAAGGGCGTTGAACATTTTCTAATGCAGTGAAGAATAAGGAACGACTCACTTTATTGAGGATCAGTTGTTGCTGATTAGTGCCCAGCTTATAGATAAATATGTTTTGAAAGTGTTGTTATATAGTTTTCCAGCTAATAAATGGTCCAAAATATAATGCCAACAATCGTGATAATAGCATTTTGAAAATGATAAAATATATTTATAAAGAAAGCAATATGGGCATGTTTACAATTATCATTATGATGTCCTGCATGCATTGGTTGTGACCTGTCCATCATCGACCCCTAAAAATCCAAATCCTTCCAAAGTATATCACACAATGTGATATCTAATTCAAAAGTTCGGAGGGGTGTTGAAAGCCTTGCGAGTTTCAATTCAGAGTAAAAATAGCATAAAAAGAGAACCTTCTTCTCCTTTCTTGCGCATAAAGCTCGTGTGGATCACATTTCATCACAAACTTGTAATATTCATTCCCAACCTAGGCTCGCAACAAAGGAGAGATTGAATAAAACGCTGTGCGAGCTGGATCCTCGTGAAGTGGCAACATCTAAAATCCATATGCCATCGGATCGGAGTGAGTAAGAAAAGAATAAGGAAGGACACTGCAACGGTATCACAATCAGGGCACCATTGACGGAGATCACCAGATGAACATGATATGTAAGTAGTTTGTATCATCCAGCAACATGAAAAAGTGAGACGGGCAAACTTCCCAGCTAAATAAGTATATTACTCATATATGTACAAACTCAAAGGTCTCAGAAAAATTTCTAGAAAACTGTGCTGAGCAACTCGTCCTGAGATACTACGAATCTACGAAGGAAAGCAATATATTTTTAAAATATTATCTTCATAAACACCGAAAATAGGGATCGCAGACCAATTGTTGGCATAAAATAATTTTTCAACTTGAGTCAAAATCTTGATTACGAAGGACGTGCGAGATTTTAAGAGTGCAGATTGTTGTTTGATCGTGATCATTGCACCGAGTACGTAGTGTGTCAGAGTGATGAAGTTTTGGGGAGAATGGGGACGGTAGGGTCGCAGCAGGAGATCTCTTAAGGGTCCTCTCTTTCATTGATGATGGAACACTCACTGGTTCCGCGGAACAAAGATCCATCTCAACGAAAAGTCACTCTCAACAATCAACTTTGTAATAGAAAACGCACTCACGTCACAAAGTGGATACATTTCAATCGCTTTTTCACACCTCGATCTCGTCATCGCACGTCCCTTTCAGCAACTCATATATTTATTACACACTCACAGTTTTCACATCAATATCCGGATCTGCAAATGATCTGAGTCTGATCAGCTTTTACCTTACAACCAAATTATCAGTGAAGAGATAGGATAGATTTTCTACGGAATAAATCTTCTTCCTTCTCCCAGGTATCGTTGCAGGCTACATGAAAATATGAAATTATCACTTTTTCCTAAATTCAGCCATGTACAAAATCTCCATTTACCTGGATAATCCTGGATTGGGAATTTGGGTTTGTGGTTTGATGTTGATCTCCTACAGTGTCGGACAGATGTCTACGTCCACATAGTCGCGTCAATTTCATTTTCAAATTGTCACTGAACTACTGAACCAATTTTCATCATTGATATATCAAATTCTCACAAATTTAACGTAATTTCATAAAACATATGAGTTATTTCTGAAAATTCTGGGAAAACTGAGAATCATAGTGCAGAGCGAGAGAGGATGAAATTTGAGCGGACAAAAGTCTACGTCCACTTCACTTTAATTGTCAACAACAAAAATCTCTCCAATTTATAAAATCAGGTAACTTAATAAATCTATCAATAACATATGCCGCATTAATTTTTAAATAATTTTCTTCCAGAAAAATATGATGGCGTCGACACGCAAGGAAATTCCTATCGCTATTCGAGATCTTGTCATTCAGGACTGGAAGGGTGGACAAAAAGGGGGCTGTCGCAGAGACAAATATGGACCAAGTATAAATTAGCAAGGACAACCATCCAGACAATCATTAAGAACTTTAAAGCTAATGGTTCAGTCCAAAACAAGGTCAGAAGTGGTCGAAAACCCATTTTGGCTCACCGAGAAGTACGCCACGTGCTCAACAAAGTCAACGTTACACCCTCACTTAGTGCTCCAAAGCTATCTACCGAGATCAAGGAGATGTTCGGCAAACAGGTTAGTCCTATGACCATCCAAAGAACACTGAATAAGGGAAATTTGAAATCCCACAGAGCAGTCCGGAAGCCTCTTATTGTACCGAGGAATGCAACCAAACGAGTGAAGTTTGCCAGAGACCACATTTCCAAGCCACAAACATTCTGGGACATATTTTATGGACTGACGAGTCAAAGTTCAATGTGTTTGGGTCAGATGGGCGTCGTAGAGTGTGGAGATATCCAAAAGAAGCTTTGAATCCAAAAAATCTCAACCCCACAGTTAAGCACGGCGGCGGGTCGGTAATGGTGTGGGGATGCATGGCTTCAAGTGGGGCAGGAAAAATGGAATTTATTGACGGAATTATGGACCAATACAAGTACCAGGGAATACTTGACCGTAATATCCAGGAATCTGTTCGAAAACTTGGACTTGGACGACGATTTGCCTTCCAACAAGACAACGATCCGAAACACTCTGCCAAGTCCACCATGGAATACTTCAAGAAAAAAAAATTCCGAAGCTAGAATGGCCTCCCCAATCTCCAGACTTGAATCCCATTGAGCATCTGTGCGACCACATTGAAAGAGAAATAAGAAAACAATCTTTTTCAGGAATTCCGGGCCTTAAATCCAGAATTCGTGAAGTTTGGGAAACCATTTCTGAAGATGTGACCAAGAATTTGGTAAACTCAATGACTCGACGCCTTGAAGCCGTCCTTAAAGCGAACGGAGGCCCAACCAAATATTAAAAATTAATTGTTATAACATTCCTTATAAATTACAGTTTTTTTTGTATGTTTTCTCTGACTGGACGTTGACTTTTGTCCATCCAATTGTTTTCATTTTGAATTAAAATACATCTCTGGCCTAAAATAAATTTTTTAGCGGAAAACTAATAATGTGCTATGAAATTACGTTAAATTTGTGAGAATTTGATATATCAATGATGAAAATTGGTTCAGTAGTTCAGTGACAATTTGAAAATGAAATTGACGCGACTATGTGGACGTAGACATCTGTCCGACACTGTACGTACCTCATCGTATGTCATCTTCGTCCATGTGGGTCCCCCAAAGAGACGGCTTTGGATTATTACCAAAATCACTGTTGTATGATTACCTAGGGAAGAAATGCACACAAACAACTCTTTTCTTCCTTGTTGTGCAAACACCTCGTAAATTGATTTTCTCGTAGGAGTAAAGTTGGATGGGCGAGAGGAGGAACGCAATGTGATTGGACTTTGTAATGACGGGTCATTACGGACGTAATCCAAACAGCTCAAATTGATTTTGTTTGGCTACCTGTCTTCATTCCACAAAATCACTGCAGACAAATAACATCCCTCTCTCGCTAGACCCACACAGTTTGTAGCTGCGATAATGCTTTCATCAAGCAAAACACGTTACAAGATGACAAGGGTTATTTCTCCACGTGGAATTTATTTATTTCATAACGATAAAGTAATTGGCATAAAGAACAATAATATTCCTGTGTGTGTGTATGTGTGGTGAGGCTGGTTCATCAAAAACCTATCTGAATATTAGCACATATATAAGTTGGACATGTAAGGATCCATTGCTACAACTAAATACTACACTGATGCTGCTCCATACTTTTCTGACTTACATTTATGTACGTAGTATTTCTACCATCAATGTTCTACTAATTAGGCAAATGAACTAATTGGACAAACCTCGTTAATAATAGGAATAAGAACAAATTGATTGAAATATAAAATAATTATGCGAGCTACAAATGTCACTACTTTACTTATCATGTAATCGAAATATTTAGGTTATAAACAGTTTGAATACTGGACTGTACTGATGTCTCACAATTCCGCGAGATTATACGAACTTCTCATGCTACACTTATGTACGACTTAACTATAAATTGTAAAATAAACTGTGGAGTCGAGCCGCATTACGACGAACGCCTTGAGTAAGTGCAAAAGATGTCCAAAACATATCGTCGAGTTGACTTTGGCGTGGAATACTGAATCTGCTTCCTCCTCAGTGGGCATGTCCAACCTCCGTCTTTTTACGACTCTGGAAAAAATAAGAACAAACATTTACTTTGTGTTGAATAATATCTACCCAACCATTACTTTGCATTCCATGTGCGACACATTTATTTCACAAAACGACTCATCACGGGAGAGGGAAGCAGAGGAGGGAAATTAATTGCGATCTAATTTGCATTCAGTGAGCGCCCAGACTAATGAAACGGTCATTAGTCAAATGATTTTTTTCTCAAAAATAAACAAAACCATTGAGGAACACCACAATGACGTAATGTGCGCTCTTGGCTTGACATTTTAATAAATGAGAGCGAATGGATTTTTAACTTCTGTGCCAGGAAAACAATTAAGCCGACAGAGAAAACAGCAGCAGCAGGGGCACTACAATCTTGTAGCGTGTAAAGCCCTTGTTTACTAGATAAGCATACAACAGTAATTACTACTTGGCATTAATATGTGCCAATTATTGAGTCTCAAATAACACGAATCACGAAACAACTGTCAAGTTACTCTCGATCGATAAAACATTTATAATTAAGCGGACATACCGTTATCGATGATAAGCGGGAATAAATGCTGCTTAACTTTCTCCAACTGTTCAACTGACCAGTATTTAAGCTACAGGGTCACAAATCATCTCCAATTATTGCAGCTTTATTCATTTATGCGAAACATGTTTGGATCTGGATTCATAAATGCAGGCAATGAAAGGGTTGTTCCCTTTGTGCGAGCACCCAGAGGGACACCTATTATCATGTAATCGGGAAATAAAAAAGCTGCAATTTTTTCGTAAAAATCGTTTCCGTGAATCCGAATCAAAAGATGAGGAGGAATATCAAAAGGCCGACGGCGCTAATGTGTGACGTGCACTGAAAGGGTTGCACACAGGGCAGTGTATTATCTCGCATTGATTCGGAATTCGGATGGGCGTGACGACTCTGTGCTCACCACCCTTTCAAACGGAACATGTACGAGCGAAACTGAAGGCCCAATTTGTTCGTCGTCATCATCACCACCCTTCTGCTCTCCCAAACCGGATCCAGTTAATGAGAAAAGTGCCATATGCACCTTTTATTTCCTTCTCCAGAAACACAACTGGCAGGTCAAAGGTTACTCCAAATCTGGAAACGATGCCCTGTTTTTAGCTCAATTGTAGATTTTGCAACTCGCATTACACGTCACAAACAGTTGTTGTTTTTGTCAACTTGGGTGAAAGTTCAGTCTAACATGTGCAGATTGCATGGCACATGATAACACGTAGTACCTCAATTGATTGGTACGAAAGGTTGAATTTTTATGTCCATCAGATATGAAAGTTTGTGCAAACTGCGTAGTTGAACAAGTTGACAAGCGAATGTTTGAGATTGCATGAATTTAGAATGTGTGTAGCGTCACACGTGCCTTTTTCTCATGAATCTGGATCACAACCACAAATATTTGAGCAGGGTCTTAGGCATCTATTTACTTGCAAATAATGAGTGCACAGCCTTTTGACCCTAATTTACGTGCATAGTTGAGCAAGACGTAGATTTGCCATTTCCGAGAATACAAGTTTGATAGGTGAGAACAGTGCCTGGCTTTTCTGACTGCCACACCGTGACCCATCATCAATGCGTCTTTTTTGTGGTGGATCAGAGTCAAAATGTGTCAATTGAGCGATTTGAATGTACCCGGAAAGCCCTTTTTTATATTAAAAACAGATGTTGACTTTACAACAGTTGAAAGAAGGATTACAGTGAAAATTGGAGTTTGAATTTGCATGTGGGAGAGAATTAGCATAAAAGTTCCATGATGATCAGCCGGCAGAGCAATATTGCAGCAATGTGGATCGTCACATATGCAGATGATGTGATCATCTCTCAACAAAGACAGAGTGTAATGAGATGTTTGCAGCCTGCAGATCTCTGTTGACACTAATTCTGGGCTAGATTTATCGCCCAACTAAGTCAACAAATAAAATTCGCCTTTTTAATCAGTTGGGTTGGAAGACTCGCTTGCTGGATTATTTGCATGACACCTCCAACCATTACCCACTCGGTCCACATCAATACATATGCGACATAAATAAATACGTATGTAACAAGTTGGTTGGGTCGTGGGGCTGATCATTAATTGCTGTTTGCGTTCCGAGAGATAATTATGCAATAAGTTTAAAACGGGGATGAAATTATTGCATCGTTGGTCGGAGCAAGTGGCCAGCTTCTCATCGTCTCCCTTCCCCATTATTTAATCGGATGCGCCCAAATCTGCATTTGCTCATGCACATCGGTTTTCATCATTTTTTATTTAATATTCCAAAGCCTATTAATATTCATAACTTTAAAACCAGGGCCCACTAACAAGGCGAGCAGTGAAGGGTTAGTTGAGGTTAAGCTTACAGGAGGATCCCACTCTATGCAAATAACATGAACGCATTCCCACTCCGAACGCATTTATTACTTGTTAGTTTTCCACATTTTCCTCTGTGGATAAATGCGTGTCCGCATATTTGCACCCACTTTGATACTGTCAGAATAGCCAAGAATTTCATTTTCATTCCAGGAATTATTTGAAGGGGCGAGCTTATTATTTATCAAATTCTTTGAATCTGTACGTCCATGCACTAATGAAGCGACACAGTTCGTCCTCGTTGCGTGTGCAGAACTGGGCATTTTTATTACTCTCGCCCCGAAATTAATTGAACATGAACATCTCAATGCATTATTTAAAATTGGAAGCAAAGACTGAACCTTAAAATCCAATTCAGCTCAATTGAAGCGAACAGGATCCTTTGCAACTGTTCGTGGTGGTAGCCTCGCCCGTCAGCCTGGATCGTCGTCGCCATAAAAAGGTGTCAAGTTGACAGATCTTTTGAGCAAACAGGCTGTGGCAGTGATACGAGCAACAAACAAAACTAAATCCGCATACACAACATGTGATGCAAATCCCGAGATCACTTCACAACTACGGCAGCTCTATGTATGTAGATACATGTGTATGCACACACAAGCAATGCTGCATCCTTTCTCATATCCAATATGCAAATAGTGTGTGGACATCTCAATAAAACAGCACAAGTGACGAGAGGAGACTTGTCTGACACTCGTTTGATGGAGAGAATTGAGACGTTTCGAATTAAAATGCTGTTTTTTATGTCAATCGGTTGTGCCACTGAATATTATCAAGCATTTTTTTACGAGGGACGACGAATTTCCATCTCTCTCTCGCCCTCGTGCGTTGTTTCCCGTGAAAGCGTGCTAATTTGGGAAATGTGTCAATTTAAATTTTGAAACCTGAGAGTGTGTCACACAACTAACGAATGATGGGAAAGTGACCCTTTGTACTTTGCATATAGGGTTGAGACGCTCCAGTTGAAATGTGTAGTAAGTGCATGCATGGGACGATGCGTAAATAAGACCAGGCTCGTTTTACACTTGTTAAATCCTCGGCACCAAAAAACGTGTCCAAGTTCATGAATAATAATTGCACTGTTACAAAGAGTAGCAAAAGAGGACAATGGTTGTGGTGGTGGTGGAACCTCGTCCTGGGGCAAGTGCACTTGGACAACAATTTAAATCCGACCTCTTTGACAGACCGCCCTGGCTGGACGTGATTCACGTTCAATTTCACGGGAATCGTTCCCATTTTCCATTCAATAAAACCAAACTCTCTTCAGCGAAGAATAATTTCGTCAAACTCTTTACCGGTCCTTATCAACCATCGCACGGGCGAAGTTTCGTCTGGAACATAGTGCAATCGAAGTAAGAATAATATGTACGCTTGGAACGGCTTCTCATCTAATCATGAAGATAAAGCTCAGTATGTTTTTTTACCCGTGTAAACTTTACACGGGTTGTATCGCATCCGAGAAGTTTGTTTCGCTGCGCACACTATAAAATTAAGCAACAATGAGAAATGGAGCGAACAATGCAATTATGGCAACAAAGGCGAGAAGCATGGCCCATGTCCAATCCAATAAAATTCATCCCGACTTTAAATTATTCGGCACTGCGTTCAACACAGCAAAGCCAACCAACCAACTACGGGTTAAAAGGGTACAAATTGTAGAATCCGATGATCCATGAGCACTGACCGAAATTCCAAGTGACAAATAATAATAACACTAATGCCAAAGTGTTGACTGAATTTTATTTTAAGCATGGAAAGCAAAAGGTAGAGTTTTATTGGTTTGGGTCATAAAGCGCGAGGAGGAAGAAGTGGTCAGTAGCCGTGACCCGGAGGGACGGAGTGCAGGCCTGATTGTGGTGGCTGGGGGTCACTCCTGTTTGTTGGCCAGCCACTTTGACACTTTGTCAAGATTTATGGCGGAGGAGTTTAGGACGCGTTTTACGACATTACTCCACAGACACTAAACACCATACGAACCTTTCCTCGTCGAGGAGCAGTGTCATCATGCTCAACGACACGACGACTTCAGTCAAAACAACGGGACCAATATTCCTTCGAGAAAGTACGGAAACGTTTTAATGCCCTGCTTATTAATTCAGCCTCCACTTCCAAAATAGGCAAAAGTTTCCTGCTATGTATTTAATATGCCATAATGTTGTTCTGAGCCAGGTAGACGGCATGTATTTGTGCAGCACGAATAAGCAGTGGGAATATAGGGATCGAACCAAAATTTCCATAGTCCAGCCCATGCATGTGGAAGCGAGGAAGAACGAATGTGAAGCAAATGAGACAAAACCAAAACCGCAAAATGAAGGGATATGCTTGAGACTCGGAGATAATTTTTACAATTACGTGTTATTATGGATTCTTTAGTCGCTGGTTCTTCATACACGGTTCTCCTATTTTTATATTATTGCATTCAATACACGGATCGGCCCACTACCAGTACAACAAGAGCAAATAAGTGCTATATAGATTACACGCATGTACATAAGGACACTACAGCGACACTACTACTACAAGAATGAGCCTAGGCTACAATCGGTACCTATGACAGAGAATATTGTAAGTACAGAATTTGTGTAGTAAATTATGAGGATTTGGGTGGAGGAGGACGTTGTGGGAAGTAAACAAAAAATAGTAAATATACGAATAAATTGTGTAATGCTTAGGCCGTGGTAGGCAGACTGACTTCTAATTCCACGTCGACTCCTCGCTCCTGTTGACCGCAATATGACCGTTGCTTCTCCTCGAAATCCCTCAGTCGCTGATTGTATCGTTCGATCTGCTCACGGAGGATGGTGTCCTCGATCTGATGGCAAACAAAAACAACAACGACCATCATTACCAGTTCTTCATTTCATCATTACTTATCATCCTCGGAGAGACAAATCATCACAATCAATGTACGAATTGCCTGACTCCCAATACTACGACATGCACATGCTCAATCAACTTCTTCCGTCTCTCTCTCCATTCTTCAAAAATAAAACTACTCAATGAAATCAAACCCCAATTCGGGTCTTGAATCAGATAAAATTGAGACAACTCGAAAACTTCGTGAGAATCAGATTATGCTGCAAATACGATTTGATTCTATTCCAGAGTTGAGTGTGGACCGTTCTGAATTTCATATATTTCAGTATTCGTTCGCACTATGCCAAAGATGCCTACGTATTATTTACCTGAGCCGTGTCTTCGTCATACTCGAGGCAGCCAACTCCGTCCAAACGGTCCAAGTCGATCCAACCTTTCCATCGGACGCAAACTCCATTCATGATAAAGTGAGACTTGAGGTGAACCTGTAAATTCATAAAAATATTTTATTGTACACAGGAGCATATTACATTCTGAGGGAATTGACTCGGACGAAACGAAGCATTCTTTGAGGGACACCGCAGCAAAGCACAAGTCCCGGTGACAATAATACTGCTGCTGCTGCACCTTCTGGTTTATGGCACACCTCAATTGTGCACTTTTTATGATGAAAAACCAAATTCCTTCAGAAATCTTTATTGTCCGTCATCCTCCCGTCACTCTGTGCAGTCGTCGTATAGTATCTTGCTTATTATGGGTTTCGGAGCACAAAACTCGCACATGTAACAATAAACCCATGCCAAGAGTTGGCCTGTGTGAGGAGCATGTCGATGACAATAATTTACCGTTTTAAGAAGAAGGATTCCCTCACAAAAGATGCTGACTGACTGGCAGCGCACAACTTTATCTCTCTACCTGCTGACTCCCAAAATCAGAATTGCATCATGAATGTAATAATCAACGCCCAATGGCAGATGGAACTGTCTCTCCACGCAAAACCTGAATTAATTCAACAATAGTTTACATGCGTCCATCCATCTGAGTGTACAATTTATTGACAAAAGCACGTATGGGGAGCGACTTTTGTATAAAAAGCATATCTGGATCGACCCATTAGCACCAAACAATTCGGAAGGAGGACAGCAAGTCTCGAGACTCCGATGTGTCAGTCACAACTAAAATTGACATGTCGGAAAGTTGAACGCCTCGTCCTTCAAAACCAAGCGAAAACTTTTCATACGAGTCCAGGCTCAGCTATAAAGATTTTTTGCTGCCGCATTTTACCGAAGCTCGGTCCTTGGCTTTCATCTGTACCCTCACCGTTTTGTGCGCACTGAGTGAGTGGGTTAGTTGTCCGAAACTGGAAAGAGAGGTACGCAGGGATTGTGGAAGTATTTGTCGTAACTAACGTGCGGATAGATACGCATTGTTCACGGAGTTTTCCTAACCAAAGCTGCATGTGGTGATCACTCACAATCCAATATTTCCAATCAAAACATTTGGATAGTTTGCATACGGCGAGAGTGGCAGTCCATTCGCTGTGAAAATTAAAAATGCATCCAGCTCTTGACTGCCAATCGTAAAAACATTTGACAAACGATGACGATGATAATCATAGTACCACGCATTGTGATGAGCTTCATTTCACGGAGAGTGCAGTGGGTTAAGTGGACAATTAGACATGCATCTCTCTCCACTTCACATCGTGTCCAATCCACTGTCAGCACTTCGTCAAACTTAATTTGCATTCAGGAAAGCCAACAATCATGTTCCACCAAAAGAGACAAATCAAAGCCAGTTAAGAGAACTATACGCATGGTTGTATGACCGATGTCCACCTTCGTAGTCTGGATCAAATTCTGTTATTGCACTCGCTCTAATGACATTAATGCCACAGACGGATGGTCAAGGCAGCCGACCAATGTGGATAATGCTCACCAAAACCCACATCCAGCCCATGAAATCACCAAATGAACAATGGGACAACAGCAGAAGAGCAATTTATTATCTGTCTCGTCCTCTCCTCGTCATGAACGTTTTTTTACACAATGTATAAAAACCGTCCACCAAAATTTTCTACATCAAACGGACACTCTCTGAACGGACCCAACCCGTTCCGTCCAATGAGACATGAGATGTTAATCAGCAATAAATCTCGGAAATTTGTCGTACGGAACCGAATCCAATTCCGAGTCAGCAAAACCAACAGAATCCAAACTAAACGTGGTCATTAAAAGACAACCCGATTGTCAAGTTTAATATTTTATGTCCAACGTATCAGCAGCATCTTTCTTGCCCAGAGAAAAGGATTGCAGACTCATTTCACGACTGTTACTTGATCCAATTGATTGATAATTTAACCTTTGAGGGACAAAGTGCTCTGACCCCTCCACCAATCGCGCATTGATCTGTCTGTAAAACATTTCTGAACTCGCGTTGGATAATTTGTCTGCTCTTTGTCCGCGGCCAATTTAGTGTAAGGGTTGTTGCAGTGGGGAAAGTTTTAATGAAATTTATTTCTCCTTCCAATCTCTATTTTATCAAATTTCTATTGGATGATTTTACAATCCCTTTGATTTTATTCGGCCATGTAGAAAATATTTTGCAGCCTTTCGTCACGCCTAGCTCAAAATCTGTAGACTTGAGTTGTGTCTGCCATCGCACAGTCCTTCTCGTCGTCACACAATGCGACTCACAAGAAGGAAAAGGATTGATTCAGTTTCAGTTGGTGCGAGCCGTTGGAAACTCGACGCGGATTTTGGACGGACGTCAACTAGGAATAGCAACAAAGAAAGGAGTCTCTTGATACGTAATTGGCCATGACGAGTCAAGACTCTTTTGTGCCCTTGAATGCATAGGTGGTGGCAATTGTGTGAGAACGACACTTATCGAGACTTCTCCTTTGTAGCCAGAGGATGAAAAAACCAAGTTGACTCTCGTCATCATGTTGGTTGGTCATACATACATTTGTAAGTCTTCCAGACGAAGAATTACTACCAATCCGATGTATTTTGTGTGTGTTGGTACGCGCAACAATAATGAGAGTTAATGGAATAATCAGAGAATTGGACTTCATTGTGACAAAGAGAGAGAGCGAGTCAACAATGCGAGCCACGAAAAGACCGGTGTGGGCTGCATTCAGAACGTGTGATGAGTGATGAAAGGGTTGACAGAGGCAAGTCAAAGCTAAAAGGGATCTCCAGCAGCAGCAGCGTCGTTTTGTGCCCCTCATTGTTGGCCCATTTCGTTCAGAAACAATATTTGAGTCTGATTGTCACACTCCATTTGAGATTTCGAATCAAATCATAATCACAGTCACAGCAGCCCCCACTGATAAAATGCCTCGTACGTTGAGTTGGTATGTATGCGTCCCTAAAGTAAAAGTCCCGTCACAGCCAGACACACACTGTTATTAACCTTTCACCCCACGGAATTAGGGAAATAAAATGCAAAATGGGCAACCCTGCAATTACTTTTTTTACTCGCTCCTCGTTCCTCTCAAAGAATGAGTCCTACACGAAATGAATGATATTTCAGAAATTCGTCGTCTTCCTCCTCCAATTGTGTGAACCGGAATATTTTCTCACACATTTATTTTTACTTTCCTTCCTTCCTCGCTCGTCTTCTTAACCTCAAACTAAATACGTGAATATATCAGTCAGCAAGTTGGCTGTTGTGAATACTGCAAAATATGAATGGAATATCTTCAATGTTTTCAAATCCTCACTAATAATAAATAAAAGTGAGGAAGATAATGATGCTCTGTTCCCATTCACGCAAGATATTCGCTCTTTTCTTTGGGAAGAAAATGGGAGAGGAGGTGATGGAAGGGAGCGGAATGAAATACTTTCAACTCTCCCTTAACTTTCTTTGTCTCGTTCGCACCCCCTTCAGAACTAAATTACAGGTTGGCACAAACTGCAACTTTGATGATTTACCTGTCCCTGCAGTAGGAAAAAAATTTAATATAATCACGCCAAAAAATATGGATAAATTTACATTGTGTTTCACTGCATAATAATATTTGGATCAAATAATAATGCTAAATACTGTTGTGCCAAGTTGTATCGAGATGTGTGAGAATCCCTGGGTGCGACATTGTTCAGATTAAAACTACCTGCTTTTACTCCGCTCCGCTCCACTAACTGCGTTTTCCATCCGTTTATGACATTCTCAGTCAGTGCACACAATCAATAAGGTTCTGCTCAACAGGACGGCTCCGTCGTTGTTATTGTTGCAGTCAAAGGTTTTTTTTGGGGAAAATATACAAAAAATATGTGACCAGATGCTCACAGTTTTACGAAAAAGCTAAAAGTTATGGATTTATATGTTCGACAAGTTCATGGTTGGTTCAGATTCAGAATGAAATGATCAACCCTTTTCTTCAATAAAAATCTGATTAACCAATTGCTTCTGGATTTGAGACTGATTATGACGACGAATAATCAGAATTGATGGGGATGATGACTTAATATTTAATCCAATCTGTCTCATGGACTGCTTTCATTATGCTTTGCTCCTGCCAACCTACATAAATCCTCCTCATAATCGCTGTTGAGAAGCAGATGTTGACTTTCGAGTGCTTTGTTTGCACTCTTGTTGTCGACGCGTGATTCTGAATGCGCATTATTGGCACAGGAATTGGATTTGTCGAGATACATCCGAATTTCGGGAATTTCAGGATCCCAACTGCGCTGGCTGTCGACCACCCGGAGGGCCAAGTCTCACACCAAACCCTGCTGTGCTCTCCATAACTTTCTCTCTGACACGGGGAATTTGCATACGTACGTCAACCGTTCCTCCAAGGACCACAAAACTCTCTCTCTGCAAACGTAGGTACGTGGGTGCATATCGAAAAAGTGGGGTGGAAGGGGTGAGTAAAAAACCAGGAAAGAAGAAGAACAATCGAATCGCCCACCCGGCTGCGTAACGGATCGATTAAAACGCGATCCAACCTTAGTCTTTCGGATGTCGATGCAATTGTTGCCGTCATCATCATCCACTTTTTCTTGCTCGTTGCCCTTTATTACGGCAAAACATGGAAGCGATGATGATCAAATGAAACGCCAAGTCCGCTACCTACTCATTCAACACCCGCACAGACGCTCTCTAAATATACGACTCACGTTTCTGCGTGCTCCTGTAAACGGCAGCACACGACACGATGATGACGACGACACAAATGCGACAAGTGTGTCACACTAATAACATTTATTATCCTGGAATGAAATGCAGCCTGATCAAACACGGAAATACGTGGAGTCATGTTACTATTTGTACACAGGTGTTTGACTGACACCTGATTAACTCCATGTTTCGGGGTCCCACCACTGTCCTCGTCATGCCATGAAAAGCTGTGTAATGATATGATCCAGATATTAATTAATTACACGCGTCGGAGACGATGCCACCCACCCACACCCACGCCGTCCTACTTCACAAAGGGACACAAACAGGCCGAACTATGTACCACTCGGACGAATTA